CATTAAATGGTGACTTGTTTGAGGAAGATGTGGCTCATTGATGTCCCTGCCACTTACAATATTACCTACAAAACACTTTATTTTTATGAGTAGTTGTTAAAAGCTTCCTGGATGATTCAAATGTTTAGCCAGGGTTAAGATCCAGTTCCTATATTATTCGGCTATGAAGAGGAGCGAAGCCCTGACACAGCCACACCGTGGACGGACCTCGAACACACGATGCTCAGTGAGAGAACCAGACACAGAAGGACACACGGTGTGTGATTCCATTGATGTGAAATGTCCAGAACAGGCACATCCACAGACAGAAAGTGGGTTCCTGGTTGTCAGGGGCTGGGGGAAGTGGATGGGGAAGGACTGCTCATGGAAAGGGGGTTTTTGGCATGATGGAATGTTCTGGAATTAGTGGTCATGGTTGCACAACTCTGTGAATGTACTAAAAACCACTGAACGTACAATTTTAAATGGCGGGTTTTATGTTATGTGAATTATCTCAGTTTAAAAAACTGAACCATTTCCTTATGCATGTAGCTGGAGCTACACAAATGCGTTTCCTGCATTGATTTGGTGGTTCTCAAAGCTTAATGTGTGTAGAAATCACTGAGCGATTTTGTGGAAACGCCAATGGGAACCCTGGGATCCTGTCTCCCTGACCAGCCCCAGTGGGGGGCGGCCCATACTGCTGACCCACCCTCGGCACCTGGAGTAACAAGGCAGGTGAGGACAGCAGGAAGCTCCCACACCCGCCAGCAGCACGGAGGACGGTTCCTTTCTCCTCCTTGATGGTCCTTTCCCTATTGGCCATCGTCCAATGGGGAAGAAACAGCAAAGCAGTCTGTGCAGGAGACAGCAGTTCAAGGTCACTGGAAGCGAAACACAACCCCACTGAGACCCACACAGGCCGCGGCCGAAGGAAGTGGGTAGGTTTTTGGCTTCCTGCTGGAAGGGTCAAAGGTGTTTCCAGTGCCCAGTGGCCAGCTGGGGGCCGAGTACAGGTCCTGATGGCCCCTCATCGCCTACACCACCCATGGTGGCTTCTGGAAACTGGAGAAGGCAAGGGATGGATTCTCCCCTGGGGCCTCCAGCTGGAAGCAGCCTTGGTGACTGTGATTTTAGCGCAGTGAGACCAAGGCCGATTTCTGGCCTCCAGAACCGTGGCACAGTGTGTGTTGTTAAAAGCCACGGAATTTGCGGGAATGTTGCAGCAGCCACAGGAAATGCACACACCACCTGATTCGGTGGTTCCAAGGTACCCAGACAGGGAATTTCATAAAATGAAAAGACAGCGGCCCAGGCAGCTCCCTCCATCTTCTCAATTAGAATTGATCCTTAGAAAATTTTCAGCCACAGACATGTCCTCATACGTTATGAGTGGAAATGGAAATTGGTAGACAAGGAAGGCAAATTGCTGTGAGATTTTTGGAGGGCAACACGGCGACATCAGAACGAATGCTTCGTATACACGTGTATTAGTTTCCCATGGCTGCTGTAACAAATTGCCACCAATTTAGTGGATCACAATATGTTTATCATCTCACAGTCCTGGAGGTCTGGAGCCTGACACGGGCCTCCCTTGGGCTAAAATCCAGGTCCGGGCAGGGCTGTCCTCCAGAGGCTCCAGGGAGAACTGTCTCCTGCCTTTTCCAGCTTCTAGAGGCCGCGTCCTGGGCTTGGGGCCCCTTCCTCCGTCTGCACAGCCCGCAGCACAGCGTCTCCCGTCTCTCTCTGCCTCTGACCCTCCTCCTCCCTCTGATGACACTGGGCCCCCGGGGGATCCAGGGTCATCCCCCAACCCAGGGGCCTCAACTTAATCCCACCCGCAAAGTCTCTTTTGCCATGGAAGTTCCTGGGATCTGGGTGTGTCTGAGAACGGTTCAATGAACATTAACATTTGAATGGGTAGACAGGGCGGGCCTCATGGCTTAGCGGTTAAGTGCGCATGCTCCGCTACTGGCGGCCGGGTTCCAATCCCGGGAGCGCACTGACGCACCGCTTCTCTGGCCATGCTGAGGCCGCGTCCCACATACAGCAACTAGAAGGATGTGCAACTATGACATACAACTATCTACTGGGGCTTTGGGGAGAAAAAGGGAAAAAAAAAAAAAAAGGAGGAGGATTGGCAATAGATGTTAGCTCAGAGTCAGTCTTCCTCAGCAAAAAGAGGAGGATTAGCATGGATGTTAGCTCAGGGCTGATCTCCCTCACAAAAAAATAAAAATAAAAATAAATGAATGGGTAGACAGAGTAAAGCATTGTCCTCCCCAATGTGGGTGGGCCTCGTCCAATCAGTTGAAGGTCTGAATAGTGCTAAAAGGCTAAGAGGGCACTGCTCCTGCCTGCTGAGTGAGGACATCAGTCTCTTCCTGCCTTTGGACTTGAACTGAAACATCAGCTCTTCCTGGGTCTCGAGCCCACTGGCCTTCAGACTGGAACTACACATCTGCTCTCTTGGGTCTCCAGCTTGCTGACTGCCCATCTTGGGACGTGTCAGCCTCCATAATCACGTGAGCCAATTCCTTAGAGTCAATCTCTCTCCATACATACATCCTGCTGGTTGTTTCTCTGGAGAACGCTCACACACTCCCCCATGCCCTTCTTGGTCCTTGGGTAAAATCTGTGTGTGGGACAGAATTCCTTGCGAGGCCATCTTTTGGCTGTGCCTGAGTTCCACCCTCTGGCTCGGAGGCCCAGGGTTGAGCAAAGATGGTCTCACCTGACTGCAGTCCCCTGGGCCCTGGAGAAACAGAGCCTGCGACACGCTCAGGAGCACCATTAGGTTGCCCTCGCCGGCTGTGTGGCCTCGGCCATTGCCTCACCTACCTGTCCTCCAGCCGGCCTCAGCCCACACTGGGGACACGTCCTCTCCAGTGCCACCCCCTCGGGACGCCTCGTGGAGCGTGACCCCTGCTCACCTGCCCAGCAGCTCAACTCCTCACCTTTGGTCAGACTCATTTGCCCAGGATGCCCTTAGAGCAGGGTCTCCCCCTTGGTGCTGCGGACATCGGGGCCGGGTCATTCTTTGGGGGGGCGTCCTGGGCACTGTGGGTAGTTAAGTAGCATCCCTGGGCCCCACCCACTTGATGCCAGGAGCACCCCCAGTGTGACAGATGTCCCCAGACGTCTCCCAGTGTCCCCTGGGGGCAGGAATGCCCCACAGAGAGGCATCCACCCTCTAAGACACGCCGGCCTTACTCTCCCCGCTCCGTCTCCCGCGCTCACTACAGCGAGTGCTCCCGGGGACGGCTGATTCTGTCCGTTTTCTGTGATTTGTGGGAGCTGAGGACAGTTAACTGCAGAGCCTGGAATCGCGTTTCTCCACCTGGGGATGGAGCGGGCCGCCCCACATGGAGGAGGGGTCCTCATGCACCCCTCACGGCTCTGGCTCTGCGCCAGGGGCCAGGCCGCACCAGGTCTGACATTCACGGGCTGGGTGACCACAGGGCAGACAAAGCTCGTGCCTTTGCCTGTGAAATGGGCATATAGGTGCTTCCGTGGGCAGGTTGTAAATGGTGACCGAGAGTCCATGTAAAGTTTACATGACATTCACGGAGCGCTTTCCAAGCCCAGGAGACCCCAGAGCGCCCGACGGTTGGGGCTGAGATGAGCCCAGAAAGTTCTCGGGCTCTTTGCTGCCTGGGACCACTTCTCTCAGGCTCTTTGGGTTACAGAATGGGGAGTTTATGTGCCATGAGAACATACTAGAAAAGCGACACAGAATAACTTCACTGCTCTGTCCAAGAACCTAGGAGCCTAGGCAGACCCGAGGTCATCCTTTACACTAGGGGGTGACTGGACACAAAGCTAAGGGAAGGAAGGAATACAGGATGAGCCCAGAGGTTTGCAGTTTTCGGAGCCATCCGCGACCCCTGGCCCAGGAAGTGTTTACAGAGGCATCATGTCAAGCACTGCCATGATTTCCACGTAGCATGTGCCCAGTGATGTGGAAGCTACAGGCTGGGGTTTCTGGAAGCTGGGGGCAGGGAGGGGAGGGTGGCACCGAGGTCACGCAGAGCCGAGCAGAGGTCACGATGTCTATTTATTCCCCACACGTTACGCCTGTCGCCACGGCTAGCACTCAAGTTAGGATACATCTCGAGGACGTGTAACGGGCTGCAGGTGGCTGACGGCAGCCCGTCTCCTACTATTACCTACAACACACACGGTTCAGGGTCTACCTTGCAGACGGCCCTAGACCACGGCCGGGCCTCCGACGAGCCAGCCACCAACGCTGTCGCTGGTGCAGTGGCACCAGACCTCTCCTCCCTCCCCGGTCCTGCTCGAGCAGGGGCCGTGGGGACACCTGCAGTGGCTGCACGTCCTGGCCCTGGCTTGTCCCCCCTACAAGCAGCTCTGGCGGCTGCTTGGCAATCTCAGGCCGGGGCGGTGGCACCAGGGGCCCCCACCAGCTCTATATGGAGGTGGGGGCTCGCTGAGGACCCAGATGCGCCGGGCCGGTGGGACCACCTGTGGGCAGAAGGGCAGTGGGCCAGGACACAGACAGGCTAGGATAGGCTCGGGGGCCAGGCTGAAAGGTCGTGATCACGCCCCTCGAGGTCTGTCGGCCATCAGCACTGGAGAAAGAGGATCCGAGTCAGACACGCCTCCGTCAAAACGCTCGATAGGAAGAAAAGTCCCAGAAACTTGTCTTGGGCCCCCAGGACGTCCCGGTTCTGCCCGTGACAGGGCACAGGGTAACGGAAATCGTCTCGTAGGAAGCTGCAACTAAAGAGTTCCTCATGCAAAAACCCGCGGTCCGAGGGCCGGGCGGACCCAGGCGCCCAGGCCGTGGCTGGCAGTGAGCTCGTCCGAGCAGGCATGGCCGGGCGGCCAAGGTCGACTCACAAAGCGGCTTCTCACAGGGCTGGAAGGCCCCTGAAGACAGATCAAAGGCGGCAGGAGCTGCAGAAAGGGGCTTCCGGAGCCGAGGTACCCCCGACGTGGGCTGACATAAAACTGGCCGCTTCTTGGAAAGCGGTACGTGGACTACCCTTGCCCTGGAATATTCTAGAAAATACTTTAGTGACTGGGTTGTCAGGGGGCCAGGAGGGAGACTGGTGCTGGTCTGTGTTCACAGCTGCTGGCTCTGTTTCGAGAAGGGTCTGTGGGCCGTGAGAGAGTACAAAAGGGGGGGGGGGCGAAGGGAAAAACTAAAAATAATAAAAATCCGTCTTAACATGCAGGTCCAATTTCTTTTTTCTCTCTTGGGCAGGCAGTCCAATGGGAGAAAACAGCAAAACGTGAGAAGGCTTCCAGTCGGCTGGGAAGGGCCCGATGTTGCTGGGGGGGCTGGCAGGAGAAGACAGGAAGGTGGGCAGTCAGGGCGTGTGCCAGGCAGGAGACTGGGGACCCACGGGGCGCCCAGACTCGGGGACCACGGGCCAATGCTTAAAGCTAAATTAACTTCAGTCCCGCGGCCCCACGGCCACATTTCAAAGGCCCCGTGTGGCCGGCAGCTGCTGTGTTAGTGCAGATACAGAATGTGCCCATCATCGCAGGTGGTTCTGGTGTCCTGGACGTGAAAATGTTGTGAAGGTACTTTATGGTTAAGGTTACAACCAAAATCGAACTAAAAAAAGAAAAAAAACTGGGAAGAAAAGTACCCAAAATATTAACATTAGTTGCTCTGGGTGGAGATATTAAAGTTGCTTTTTCTGCTTTTTTATGTTTTTGTTCTTAAAATATTTCTATAAAAAACCATGATTAAAAAAAAGCACGTGATGGGCCGGCCCCGTGGCTTAGCGGTTAAGTGCACACGCTCCGCTACTGGCGGCCCGGGTTCGGATCCCGGGCGCGCACCGACGCACCGCTTCTCCGGCCATGCTGAGGCCGCATCCCACATACAGCAACTAGAAGGATGTGCAACTATGACATGCAACTATCTACTGGGGCTTTGGGGGGGAGGGAGAAAAAAAAGCATGTGAGGAGTGACGATAATGAAATAAAGAGAAGTCACAGCGAGGCCAGATGAAAACCTCTCCTGCGCAGGAAGGGCACTCAATCTACTGGGGACAGGACGGAGGTCCAGGGCCCTGGGGCGCTAACCGAGCCAGCCAAGGCCGCCAGGGACCCTCCTGGGACACCCGAGTGTATTTCTAAGCAACTGTACATGTTAACATCTGCTCACACACAAAAAAAATAATAAAAAAATAAAATTTGCAAAACCCAGGCAGAATATCCGCGTGCAGCGAGAGACAGGTGCCGGCCGGTCCTCCCACCGCACTTGGCCTCCATTCTTTCTGCACAAGTGTGGCCCGGAGGCACTCAGGCAGCACCCCTTCCAGGGAGCTGTAGGGTTTCGACCCTTGTCCCTATGTGGCCCCAGCTGAGCCACAAGCCCACAGCCCACCTGCAGACGGTCGGGAAGGCGAGGAGCCAGATTTGGGTGGAAACACCCGGAAAGGGGCCTGAGGACCCGAGACGCCCCCCACCTGGCCTCAGAGCCGCCCCATCGGGGCTCCCAGGGCCCCGTGGCACAGGGGGACTCACGTGGGCGGTCATTCCTGCTGGTCGTCGTTGCTGGCGCTGGGGGTCCGACTTCGGATCTGACTTCGGAGCTGTTCTATCAACTCGGGGTTCTGCTGCTGCATCTGCTGGGCGAACTGCTGGCCCCTGTGGGAGAGGCGCGCCCAGGCTCAGCGGGAGCCAGACCACCCCACCCCTGGCCCCTCCCCTGCCCGCCGCTCCCTCCGTTGCTCACGGGGAAACGTTTCCTAGGCATTCATGACATGCCCCGACGTGTGCCCCTCGAGGGCAGTGTGGCCACCCGCTGGAGGACACAGCACTGCTTCTCTCCCTTCCCCGTCGTGGGTGCGCCCCGCCCCGCCCGTGCGCCCCATCCAGCAGTCTACTCACGCCTGGATGAGACTGGCCAGGTCGTTCTGCGAGGGGCTGGTGCCGGGAGTCCCCAGGGGGTTGTGGCCGCCAGAGATCATCCCGGACATACTGCAAGGACAGAGCACGTGACGCAGACAGCAGGGCCGCAGCCTGCCCACTCCCACCTCGGCCCTGCTCAGCCCTTGGCCTCCGCTGGCAGGAGATGGTCTCTGTTATTGCCTGGCAGCCCTCAGACCATACCCCTCTCTGACCACGGCCCCTGTGAACTTCCTCGGCTTTCCCAGGAACATTCTTTCCTGGCTTGAAGACAGTGATTCTCAATGGCGCAATGCTGTCCCCCAGGGGACACTGGGCCATGTCTGTGACACAAAAGGCCACACGGCATGTGATTCCATTGATGTGAAATGTCCAGAACAGGCATATCCACAGACAGAAAGTGGGTTGTGGGGGTGGGGGGGAGTGACTGCTAAGGTACGGGGTCTCCTTTTGGGGTGAAGGAATGTTCTAGAACTAGACAGAGGTGATGGTTACACAACATTGTGAATCTACTTAACGCCAGTGAGTTGTAAATTTTAAAATGCTAAGTTTTACGTATATTTTACCACAATAAAATAGAAACTTAACCACAAGAAAACCCACAGGGGATGGTTGTCACTTACAGCTGTTGAACTTGGGGATTGTTCATTAGGTTTGACGCCTGAAGAACAGAACAGATCTGTCAGAAAAGAAAGCTCCAAACACACAGTTTCACTGAAAAGGTTTCTCGTAACCCGCTTTGGTTCTCCTGGCTCAGCACGCAGGGCGTGTGCGCCCCTGGGTGCGTGGTCTTCCCGGCCTTTCCCGCATCTGACTCCCACATTCTGACACTTTAACCCTGCCCTGGACTCTCATTTTAAGAGATTCCAGGCACCTCATCATTTTGTCGCTGCCTGCTTAGGTTTCGCCGTGTGGACGTGTTCTCTTTTCCAGCCCCTGACTACTTCAGGACAGTGAGTTCCCAGTTTTGCTCTATGGGTAAATGACATTGCATTGGACACTTCTGTGCACAAACCTCCCCAGTGAGGATGACCCCCTTGAGACCTATGCTGAGAAGTGGATGACCAGGAAACCAAAGAGGTGCCCGCCCTCCAGGCCGCGGCTCACGGGCCGGCTAACTTTCTGTAAAGGGCCAGAGAGCAAATATTTTTTGGCTTTATGGGCCACGGTCTCTGCCATTGTTGTACTGAGAAAGCCACCTCGGACGGTATGTAAGCACACGAGTGTGGCTGTGTGCCATAAACCCAGCGGTGGGCAGCCATCTGCGACCCAGGATGTTATCGGGTCAACGTGTGACCACTGTCAGGCCAGTCCTCCTCCCGCCAGGATGCTCTCTGCAGGGCGTTGTGTCTCATCCTCCATCCACAGACGCTCCTTACTGTAGTGAGGACGTTTCCCTGACTGCCAGTGGGTTCAAGATTTTTTTTCTCCCGACAGTTTGAGACCCTGCACCCTGAAGCCACCAGTAAGGCCGAGCAAGACCACCCAGGAACGGACATGCCTGGTCCCCTGTGGGTCACAGCGGGGGAGCCCGCTCTCAAAAGAAGTCCCTGCACAGAGCAAGCACCTCTGGACTTGAGTCTCTGGCGCTGGAAGGCGGTGCTTCCGCCTTGGGAGCACCTTGTACTCTGTGGTGTCTCATCTGAACCCCAGGAAGCAGGCGTGGCCACACAGCGATCACTGCCTCCACGCTGTGAGGAGGAAACCGAGCTGGGGGGCGGGGATGTAGTTCTCCAGTTTACCCTTCATGCTTGAAACTGGGGGGTTTTCAGCTGAGGGACTCTGCCCACAGGGGATACATGGCAATGTCTGGGGACATGTGTGGTTGTCACACTGGGGGTGCCCCTGGCATCAGTGGGTGGGGCCAGGGATGCTGCTCAACCCCCCACAGTGCCCGGGACGGGCCTGCAGAGAATGACCCGCCCCGATGTCTGCAGCGGTTGGGCAGCCCTGGCCTGTGGCAGGCAGTGACACGCAGGCGCAGGCCTGGGGCGTGGCGGGGACGCCGTGGGCGGGGGAGACGGGAGGGCTCCTCACCATGCTCATGAAGCTCGGGTTGTTCAGCAGGCCGGCGATGTCGAAGCTGCCAACCCCTCCCGTCTGCGGGGAAGAGAAAAGCGCTGGTTAGCGGCCCCTGGACACGGCCCACGAAGGCTGGCCCCTGGGAACTGAGACCAGACCCCAAGTGGGGCCCGTGCGGAACCCAGGCAGTGCACGGCTCAGACGGTCTATCAGCCTGGGCAGCCAGGCCCTGCAGCCACAGGTGCTGCGTACAAGGCCCGAACCATGGTGCTGACCGCTTGGGAAAAGCACAGTGTATCGACCTCGTCGTTTGCTTTCTGAGGCTCTGACACATGGCGCCTTGCTGGCCCTGGAGGGACGGCCCCTCCCAGGGTGGCCAGTTCCTAGAGGCAGTAAACAACTTGCAGAGCAGCCACCCTAGAGCCCCACCCTCCTCTATCGGCTCTCACACTGTAATCACCCAGGACCAGGCGCCAGACAACCAGGGGCAGCCCCTGCACCCCAGAGCCCACAGAATGACTCAACCAGCCTTTCCTAGGCCTGCTAGCCCTGCCCTGCTGTCCCTTCCTGAGGGAACCGCCATACAGGCCCCGGTCCACAGGCCCCGCCCTCCACCTGCCTGCTGACCCCCTGGCGGGGCCTTGTGGGTGTCCCCTCCTGTACCTGCAGATCTGTGAGGATACGCTTTTCCCTTCCTGACAGACGTGTCCGTGCGTGCCTGGCTGTACCCCATCAACAGATGCCCGGCCCGCCCTGTGCCCCCGCCTCCCCGCCAGTCACACCCTCGCCCCAGGGGGCACTCACGGGGCTGGGCGCCTCTCTCAGCTTCAGTTCCGCTATCTTGAGGTTCGACTTGTACGTCTCGTTGTCGGGGTCCAGCTCCAAGGCCTTCCTGTAGTAGCCCACGGCCTCCGTGTGCTTGTTCAGACTAGAAAGCGCTAGGCTTGGGGGGAGACGGTGGGATGTGGGGAGAGGACCCGGGACGGGAGGCTGCCCGCCTTCCCTCAGCCCCCAGGCCCCAAACTGCTTCGGGGCAGTCTCTCTCTGTCCAGTGTCCAGGGTCGGTGGAGAGGACACACAAGGGGTCAGGGGAGGGGCTGAGAAGACAGACACGTGACAAGGATTCAAACGCACGAGCGCTGGCGCCCTGGTGGGGCCAACACAAAGGGCTTTGACAGCGCTGAGGGGCCTCGGAGGAGGGAGCGGCAGCACACAAAGATGTATTTGGTCCTTGTCCCTATTCCCGGCACAAAGCTCCTCAACTCCAGTCACAGGCGTGTCCTTTGTTATGAATAACGAGCCCCTTTGATCACACCTAAGTTTATACTAATGAGGTGACTCAGGATGGGGCTAGTGGCCAGGAGGGTGCGACCTCACAGCCCCTAACCTCCTGACCCCCGGGGAGGGAGGCTGGTGCAGACTGGTTATAAAACTCCTGAACAATGCGATGGGAGAAAGTCCTGGTTAGTGAAGGCATCCACGCGCAGGAAGGGTGGGGCCCCCAACTCCACGGGGACAGAAGCTCCTGCGCCCAGGACCCTTCTGGACCTCGCCCCTCGCCCCGTGTGCCTCTTCACCTGGCTGTTCCTGCGTGTCCTCTATAATTAACCAAGAAACACAAGTAAAGCGCTTTCCTGAGTCCAGGCAGCCTAGTGAATTACTGAACCTGAGGAGGAGGGGTGGGAACCTCCTCTAGCCAATTTCCAGCCAGTGGGTCAGAAGCAACGGTGGCCCCACACCAATCGCAACTGGTGTCTGAAGTGGAGGCAGTCTTGGGGGGCTGGGTCCTTAAAGTGTGGGGTCTGCACTAGCTCCGGGTAGTGTCAGAATCGACCTCAACTGTTGGACACCCGGCTGGTGTTGGAGGGTTGGTTGTGGGTGTGGAAACAGCTCTACACAATAGAAGGAGGAATGTGCTGGATGCGGGTGGAGGCGGGACAGAGAGACTGCCCAGGCCCTCCCCAGGCCCCAGGACGGCGCCGGCCGGCACTCACCCCATCCTGCCGGCACTCACCCCATCCTGCCGTAGGCTTTGCTGTAGGACGGGTCTATGCAGATGGCCCGCTCGCAGTCCTGCACCGCCCCGGCGTAGTTCCCCAGTTTGCTGTAGGCCGCGGCTCTGGGGACACAAGCAGGGCAGTCAGAGAGGAGGGGCCTCAGTTTCCCCATCTGTAAGGTGGGGTAGATACGGGGTTGCCAAGGGGTGTGGTACATGGGCTTCCCTCCGCTGGGCACCTGTGCAGAGCATGTGACAAGCTGGGCGCTGCCCCCGTTTATTGGGGGGAAACCGAGGCTGAAGGATGCAGAGGACCGTGGCCCAACGCCATGGGACCAGGGTCTGAACCCGGAGTCTTGGGGCTCTGCTGTCCAGGTCTTCCCGCTGCGGGGGGAGCTCATGCCCATTTTATGTTGCCAAATACGTAACTATTGTTAAAACGCTAACTGGAGAGCAGCCGTTCCGGGGGAAGGCTATTGGGGGAATTCTTTGCATGGTCTTTGCAACCTTTCTGTAAACCTGGAATCATTCCCCCAAAGAGTTAAACGAAACAAAACGAAACTAAAAGTGAGCGGACCCTGCAGGTGATGTGCACGACCTCTGGCATCCGCCCTTCTGGTCTCTTCTACACCGTCTGTTCCCACGGCTCTCACACAAGACGCCCGATGCTGTATCCTGCTCTCCATTCCGTCCCTCTTGTCGTGAAAAACTCGCCAGCACAGTCTTCTGTACCAAGAGGCTTGCGTGCGAGTTCACTCAGCTTTCCCTTTAAAAGCACAGGCCACACGCAGCTCTTCACTATTATTAACGCTGCCGTGTACACGGTATCCAAATCTCGGGTTATTCTCTTTGCTTGAGTACGCTGCCACCTAATTTTACCGCCATCATCGGCTCTCAGTGACACCTCGCTGGCCACCTGACACTTGCGTGGTATTTGGGACTGCGGCTGAGCAGTCACTAACCTACAGGACAGACGCTCGGGGACGCGCGACCAGCCCCCGCCGGTACCTGTTGCAGAAATAGACGGCGTTGGCCGGGTTCAGCTCAATGGCTTTTCCGTAGAAGTGCACGGCAGCCTCGAAGTTCTCCACTTTCATCTGCTCGTTTCCTAAAGAGAAAGGAAAAAAATGTATACCCCGCTGTTCACGTGTAGGGGCTGAGATGGCACTCTTTGCTCTCCCGGGCTTCTACCTGGGGGTATGAGGAGCTTTCAGCGGGGCTGGCGGGGTGAGGAGGAGGGTGTGGTTTGTGTCAAGCGCTCTGCAGGGCCTGGCCCAAGAGCACTCGGTGACAGCAGCTGTCACCACCTTGGTTGTGCTGTTTGGGAACCCAAGTCTCGAATACTGTCAATTATCTCTTTCTTCAGAAATAGCCCAGTTTTAACGAGAAGTAATTCACATACCATAAAACTCACTTGTACAATACAGTGGTTTTTGGTATTTCAAAGCTATCTAACTATCACCTCTATGTAGTTTAAAAACTTTCATCGCCCCAGAAGAAGCCCTGCCCCCACCAGCAGTCACTCCCATCCCCTCCCCAGCCCCTGACAACCACGAACCCACGTTCTGTCTGTGGATCTGCCTGTTCTGGACATTTCACATCAGTGGAATCACACACCGTGTGGCCTTTTGTGTCTGGTTCTCTCACTGAGCATCGTGTGTTCAAGGTCCGTCCATGGTGTGGCTGTGTCAGGGCCTCACTCCTCTTCCTGGCTGAGTAATAGTCCAGTGTGTGGGTGGACACGTTTTATTTATCCACCATCAGTCGATGGACACTTGGGTCACTTCCTCACTTCCACTTTTTGGCTATCACTAATCATGCACTATGAGCATTTGTGTACAAGCACCTCTGTGGACGTGTGTCTGCACTTCTCCTGGGCACACACGTACCTAGGGGTGGAATAGCTGGGTCACGTGGTCACTCTGTGCATAACCACGTGGGAGCTGTCAGACTGTCTTCAGTAGCGGCTACAACATTTACATTCCCACCTGCTGTGTGTGAGAGTCCGATTTCTCCACATTCTTGTACCTGTGTTCTTAAAAGCCCCTGGCCCTCGTCTCCAAAGGCTGGTTTGCCATCCACTGCTCAACAGCACCCCTCCGGTCAGCTCCAGAGCCTGGGACCAGCCCGCCTCACCCTCCCTGCAGCTGCCAAAGTCCAAGCGAGCAAGGTGCCTGGTGGCGATGAAGAAAGACTGCTCACCTTCAGTCTTGAGGCGTTCTGCCTCAGCCGAGTCTTCCTCCGAAGGCGGGGTTCGCTCGGGGCTCCTCAGGTCCTGTGGCATCTCCTGGCCCCAAAGCAAAGAGGAGCTCTTCGAGGAGCAGCAGGCAACCCCGCTGTCCTCCTCCTCCAAACCCTGTGCCTCTTAGCCTCCCGCCCTCCCCTTCAAGGGACCCCCAAGAGCAGCTGAGCTCTGTGGGAAGGTGACTCAGGCCCAGGTGCCTGTGGCCCCTGCACCTCCCTTCTCTTGTTGCCAAGCTGGAACCACACCCCAGGCGGCCGGCCCAGGAGAGGACGTGGCCTTGTTGGTGCCCCAGAGCAGCTGGTCCCCTTGCTGCTCTGGCAGGCGGCTGGGGGAAGCCCCCGAGGCTCACTTTGCCAGTGGCGGCTGCTTCAAATATTTCCGGAAGAGTCTGAGGGAGTGCCAGATCACTGTCTTCCACCGTCACCCCGAAGGCGGTCTCCAGGCACTGGATGGCCACTGTAAGGGAGGACAGAGGGATCTTCTGAAGGCGACCCTGAGTTTCTGACCCTGAGGCTGGGGCACGGTGCACGCCTCTTCTTCGAGAGTGTTTGCAAAGACCGTGGGCCGCTTCGTGCATGTGCCCCCGTGGACCCCTGGTTTGGATTCCTCCCGACCCCGTCAGCCGAGAGCTTCCGAAAGCTCAGGACGGATGGACACGTCCCTTAAGCCCCTTGAGCGGGGACGCAGGAGGGAAGACGCTGTCCCCGCCCAGGGGGCTCCGGTGGGGGACGTCAGGGCTCTCTGTGGGGTCACAATGCTCGGCCGCCCAGCTGGGGGACGGTGGGGCTTAGCCCGGCCCGAGTGCCATGTTGGGGCAAGGTGCCCGGGGACGCTCTGTTGGGCCTCCTCCTGGGAATCCGGCTAGAGCCGGAGCTTGAGGCCAGGCCCCACCCTAAGTCTTCATGACTGGGTTCCTTCCACAGGCCGCACGGTCCCATGCAGGACAGGACTAGTCCAGGGCCCTGTGACCATCTGACTTGGCCACCACCAGACTGGGTGGCCCACAGGGCCCGTGGGGGCCACCCACGCCCGTGTGCCCAGCTTTCCGACTCTTTGCTCCGCCCCAGGACACCAGCACCTGCCTCCTCCGTGGGTAGGGCCCCTTGAGCCCTGGGCCTGACCCCTAGTGGGAAACAGGGCCACCTCCTCTGCACACTGCGGGTCTACCCGCCCTCAGGCAAAGCCCCACAGTGACGGTGCTCAGTCTGAGCCGGGGCTGCTGCCAACAGAGACCTGCCCGGGGGGAGGCGCTGAGGACGCACAGGTGGGGGGAGGCGCTGAGGACACACAGGTGAGCGAGGCCGAGGCCCTCCCCCCACTCCCCTCCGGCGGGGACCACGAGGCGTTCCCGGGACAGGAGAAGGGCGTGGAGGACCTTCCCAGCCCGAAGGCGATGTGGCCCTGCGCCTGGCCTTCTTGCACACACACCCCCAAAAAGACCTGGCAGGTGCCGTGTAGCCGAGGGCCAGGCGAGCTGGATGTCAGGGGCTGGACTCTGGGGCGGGACACCGGAGCGGGCTGGCAGCAGGGTCGGGCAGACGGCTGCTGCTCAAGCCTGGGTTCCCCACCCCCAGCCTCACGTAGCCTCTAGGCATGGTGGCCGCCCCCTCCTCTCTCAGGAGAGCCTTTCTCCTTTGACAGGACACACACGCTGGGAGGGCAGAGAATGTTCTGGAACCACACCTTGACAGAAGACAGGGAGATTAACAATACCTGCAGGAGGCCCAGCCTGAAGTGACCAAGGGGCAGCACCGTGCAGTGGGAGGGAGGAAAAGAGGAAGGGAGGGTGGTGGGCCGCACGTACCTTCCAGGCTCTCCTGGGCGTCAGACGAGAGCCCCCCGTGCCGGAGCTGGTCGTGCAGGAACCGGATGATGGCGTAGGCCAAGCGCTTCTTGTTGTCCATTTTGAGATGCGAAGAGGCGACGCCCGGGGGTCTTCAGGATCTGCGGACCCAAGCCCAGAGCATGAGGGGGGCTGAGCAGTCTGAAAGGCCCCCCCAGGCGCTGGTCCCTTTCCAGGCTGTCCGAGGGCCTGCTCTGGCTCCCTACAACGTGCTGACTCCTAGGTCAGGAGTGAGCCTGCCCCGGGGTCACTGGGCGACGTCTGGGGACACCTGTAGTTGTCACACTGGGGGTGCTCCTGGCATCGGGTGGGGGGGCCAGGGATGCTGCTCGACCCCCGACAGGGCCCAGGACGGCCCCCCGAGAGTGACCTGGCCCCACAGTGCCCAGGGGGAGAGCTGTGGAGTAGAATAACAAGCGAGGGCAAGGGGTCTGCGACCTGAGCGCCTAAGGCAGCTTACACCACACCTCTCAGTGCCTCATACGACGACCCCCAAGGCAGCGTTTAGAGGAAACAGGCTCGGGACAGGGGTCCACACACCTGCCCAGGGCTGCTCAGTTCTAACCGGCATGGCTAGGATCCGCATGAGGCGTCTTAGTCCCCCTAAAACACCCCCAGTGGGGTCAACACCTGGGCTCCCTGGAAATCGAGGAGCGGGCCCCCTGACAGCATTATCATGTTATTAACCCGTCACTGGCCAGAGACGGTTACATTAAATTGAGAAGAGCAAGTCATGTCCCCCCAGGCTTGACTTGCCGGCTGACAACAGACGGAGATGATGCCAGCGCTCTGGCGCCGCCAAGTCTCCGCGCAAGTGCAGTCAAGACGCGCGCGGCCAGCCTGCTCGGGGCTCTGCTTCTGGTTCATGGGAAACTACACTCACGGACAACTGCGTCTTAAACAAAGGGAGTGAGAGAACCAGACACAGCAGGCCACACGGTGTGTGATTCCACTGACGTGAAATGTCCAGAACAGGCACGTCCACAGACAGAACGTGGGCTCGCGGTTGTCAGGGGCTGGGGGATGGATGGGGAGTGACTGCTCATGGGGACGGGGCTGCTTTTTCGGGTGGTGGAATGTTCTGGACTTAGTAGTGACGGTTCCAGAGGATTGTGAATGTGCTAAAATCTACTGAATTTTATGGTATGTGAATTATATCTCGATTTTTAAAAAGTGAAAACTGAAAACAGCTGTGTTTTGTACAGCTGGACAGAGTTACGGCCGCCCCCGGAATGCTCTCTGGCGATGGTGATGAGTTTTCCGCCCGTTTCTGGACACAATGAGCCTTTACCAAGCAAGTGCCTCTGGCCCAAGAGCGCCCCTGGAACGGGGAGGTCTGTGACCAGGACATGCCAGAGCCCGGAGGAAACACGGCCAGGCGCAGGCGCAGACGCAGAGGGTCTCTGGGGCCACACAGAGGGGCCCACAGAAGGCAACCGCCACAACCGGCCTAAGCCTTCCGGGCAGGGCTTCCGAGCACGTCGGACCCAGGGGGGGCGGTGCTGGGTCACACGAGGTTCACACTGGCCTGGCTGTGTGTCTGTGTCCGTGGGCGCGTGTGTGTGCGCGCACGGATCTGCTCTCCCTGCCGGAGAACCAATACGGATCTTGGTGGTGATGGATCCTGGCGGTGACAGTGCTTGCTTCAGAGTAAACAAGGAGAGGTGTTCTTGAGCACACTGTCTCCTGCTCTCTGGGACCGGAGGGGGTGAGGACTGAGGGGGTATTGAGGGTTTAGAAAACTGCAGATGCAGTCACACGCATTTCCGGCATGCTTTCAGTTCTCCCAATGCCTCCCGCCTTTTGCACCTCAGGGCCTTTGCACATGTGGAGCCTGACTCTCCTAACCCCACTAAACCCCTCATTTGAGGCAACTCTCGCCTACCTTCCCTGGTATGATCTGTTGCTGTCTGCATCGGGGGCTTCTCCTGGTCTACGGATGTGATCTCCCCCGAAATGTCGGCCCCACAACATGACATGCTGAGTGTCAAGGAGTCAGGGCCACTTGGCACCTGCCCTGGGCCTGGCGCATGGATGACCGGCCAGGGAGGTCCCCTTGCCCTGGAGGACAGAGTCTGGAGTCATAACGCCTCAGGCCCAGCTGTGTCTGCCCAAAGCCCACCCCGCGTCGCCTTCCCCATCCCTGGGAATGCTCTATGTCAGATCTGAGCATCCCAGTGATGCCTCACTTTCCTCTTCTATAACATGGGGTGACAGGGGTGTCCTCACAGGCTGTTGTGAGAATTGAGGGCCTAATGCAGGGTTTCTCCACTAGGCCATCTGCACCCAGGGCTGGACCATTCTCTGCTGTGGGGACTATCCTGCACACTGCAGGATGTTTAACAGCACTCTTGGTCTCCATCCAGTGCCCCCTGGGGGGTGGGAGCCAGAACTGTCCTGGGTGAGCCCCTCTGGGTTAGGGGACCTCACTGACCCCCAGGAGACTCTGTTCCATAACCATCTGACTACTGAGGCCCCAGGATGCTGCCCACGTTCAAACACACACACTGAGTGGGAGGGAGAGAGGAGGGACTCACAGATGCTGGGGACACCCTGGTTTGTACCGTCTGACCACAGGGATTTCTTCTGGTGTCTCTTGTGAGCAGGGATCAGACTCCATTTTTCCCCAGATAATTAACACGTGGTCTCCCCTTCCTCAGCACTGCAGACGTCGGGGCTGGGTCCTTCTCTGTGGGGGGCTGTCCTGGGCAGTGTGGGGCACTGAGCAGCATCCCTGGCCCCCTTTGACCGAGTGGTGACAGTCACAAATGTCTCCAGACACTGCCAAGCCACCCCCAAGTGAAAACCTCTGGAAGCCGCTAAGCAGAAAAAATAAAGGCTCTAGGGCAGCATAAATCAGATTTTCTGGCCAAAAGACTTTGCTGCGAACCTTCGGGAAATCTTCTGTTTGCAGAGTATTTTGGATTTCAGACGTGCGGGAAGGGGAGCGTGGGTCCACAGCAAAGGACACAAGGGGTCCCTAAAGACCGTTGCTTCTCCTCCCACCTCACCGAGAGGGGAGGATACGAAACAGTCTGCAAATCTTAGCGCAGCCCCGGCTTTGAGACGAAGGAACTTTCTCCTCTTCGCCAAGCCCGGCCCCACAGAGGACGAGGATGGCGCTTTTCCTCGACGGCTCCTAGGCACCCAGCATCTTGTGAACAATCACAACTTGTAGGGCTCTGGCCGCTGGACAAAATTCTCAGAGAAGGCGTCCTCTCTCCCCGAACAGTGAGGGCTTTATGAGTTCTCGGAAGGCACCAGCGGGGCGCTGGTCTAGAGGCGCAGGGTGCAGGAGGGAGCCTGGGGAGGGTGGACGGACGCGGGCCCCCGGGAGTGGCAGGGGGCCCGGTGCCAGCTCCTCTGGTGGTCTTCAGACCCCTTTCTGGCTCTCAGTCCACCTTTTCATTTTATCATTAAACTAAAAAAAGATCAGCCTCTATTCTTTTTATTTCCCTGCCCAGAACTGATCACTCAAAGGGAAAAAATGGCACAACTTACTAAAATGAGTGACTGGCCTCACCACACCCCAGGAAGGAGAAGGACCCTCTTTCTGAAGGACTGTCCACCCCTGAACCCACAGCTCTTCTCATAAACCAGCGTGTACAGGCGGGTGCTCTGCTCCTCTCCCCAGTCCCAGGACACCACGGGTCCCCCAGAAAGGGCAGTCCCGACAGCTGGAGCTCAGGTTCCAGCTCAGGTTCTAAAATGCCACCAGGATGCCCGGCACACTTAAGACCCCTTGACAGCCTCCTGAAACTTCACAAGTGTGCACACGAGGCCCCTCACCAAACCCTCTATGCCCCACTCAAACTCACCTGCTCGTTTTCCCTCCGACTCATCCAGGAATCTTATTCTCCCTCCAATGCCCAGCTGCATGGTCACCTCCTCGGCCAGAGCTGGACACCCTCTTTTTCCAGCAAAGCCCAAGTATCAGTCCTGCTTCTGGTCCAGCATCTCCTACAAGGCTTCCCAACTCTTTCCTGGCCTGTCTCCCCCCACTGGACTGTGAGCCCTTAGACAGATCATCTTCCCTCTGAGCGCCAGCACTTGGGGGCGTCTGACCTGTATGGACTCAGGAAAATGTTAGGTCCTCGTCAAAATCAGAGCCACGTGACCAAGTTCCTCGGGGAGGCCGTTTCTCTTTGGTTCTGGTTTCCTCATCAGCAGCAGAGATAACAAACCTTATGTTTTGCTGACCTACCAACAATTCCCTTTATTCCTCCAACCCTCTCTGAGCGTTTCCCGCCGAGGCCAGTGCTGGGTCTTGGCAAAAAAATGTAGGATCAAGTAAAAGGACAGCTCTCAATCTGGGGCAGAGCTTAACCCCACTCCGAGTCACTCACCCTTCCAGGAAGACTGAATTATACACCTCTGGTGAAATCCGTGGAGTGCTGAGAAATTTCTAGGCCCCCAGCTGACTGCTGTACATGCAATGGCTTATTGCAGGGGTCAGCAAACATTTTCTGACAAGCGGCAGAGTAAGTGCCTTCAGCTTCACAGGCCACAGGGTCTCTGCGGCAACGTCTGGACTCTGCTCTTGTAGTACAAAAGCAGCCGCAGTGTAGCGGGTACGCGACGGAGGGGCAGCTGGGTTCCCACACTTGGTTTACAAAAACAGGCTGCAGCTGGATCTGCGCCCCGACCACAGTTTGCTGAGAACCCAGGTTGTTTAATCTAATCCCCATCCTCAGCAAGATGGGGGCGCCACCCAAGTTCACCCGGCTGAGACACAAATCAGCAGTTTGGAACCCAGGCAGTCTGATTCCAGACCTAAACTCCAAAGTACCCTTTTCTCACCCCCAAAAATGGGTGCACACACAAAACCTTGCACATAATACCCCCCAACCCCGCGGAGCCCTTGCTGGTAAACAATCGCTAGTCTAGGGTAGGGTTTCACTTCGGCACTGTGGACAGTGGGGCCGGGTCCTCCTCTGTGGGGGGCCACCCTGGGCACTGTGGGGTTTTGAGCAGCATCCCTGGCCCCCCCCCCGTCCCCCTGAAAACCACAAATGTCCCCAGACATCATCCAGTGTCCCCTGGGGGGCTAAAACCCCTGGCTGGGGAGTGGGAAAGCAGACAAAACAAATAATCAGCTACAGAAACAGAAAAAACAGAAACATCAGTCACTTTAAAAGATGCAGAGCACACTCACATCTTCTGGCGCCTAATTACAAAACCAGCCATGCTCTACAAGCACCAGGAACCTGATTAAAGCATGTTCTACGTGTTTTTAACCTCACAATGACCCTAGGAGCCAGATACTTCTACTGCCCCTACTGTAGAAGGAAAGTGCTGCTCAGAGAGGGGAGGCGACTCGCCCAAGCTCACACAGCCAGCAAGAGGTGGTGGAGCTGGTCCCCAGCCCCGGATTTCTCCCACCTCTGGCACAATACGCAGAAGAGCCTAAGGGTGAGATGAGACATAACTGCAGACTCCCCCTTTGAGCTCGCACTTCTGCTGGGCCCTGCGGCTCTAATCCCCCCAAGCACCGCCCGAGGCAGGGACCGTGACGACGCCCGTTTTACAGAATGGGAAACTGAGGCCCGGAGAAATCAAGGGGCCGGCCAAGCTCAGCCAGGTGGAAAGTGGCGGCGCTGGGACAGGGGTCCCGACCTGCGCCCCACAAACGGGACTCCCCGATTCAAAGGGGCCGTGTGTCCGGGCAGCAGCGGACAGCCAGCGCGCGCTCACGAGGTGCGGGGCGCTTTTACCTCCCGCCGTCCCCCTGCGGGCCTGCGAACCAGCGTTCCCCGGGCCTGGGGTCCGGGGGACGGGGACCTGGGCCGCCGAAGGGCCGCCCGACACCGCCCGGCCTCAGTTTCCCCTCCGCGCCGCCCACTCACAGCATCCCGCGGATCGCAGCGACCCCAACCCCGAACCGACCTCCTCTGACGGGCCCCGGAGCCCCGGGAGTCCCGAACCGCGGACCCCCGGGCCGTCCGGCTCGGCAGGGAACCCCCACTCACCTCTCAGGCGGCCGAACCCCGACCCACCGACGGCTGCGCCTGCGCACCGCGGCGCCGCCCGGCCCCGCCCCCCGGCCGCGACGCCTGCGCGGTAGGGGCCAGCTCCCGTTGGCTGTCCTTCTGCGCAGGCGCGTCGATTAGCGCGGTGGGCGCGGGGGGAAGTGACGTAATTTAGAGGCGGGACGAGCTGGTCGTTAGGGCAACTGACCTCTGCGACCGACAGGAGGCCAGAAATGAGGACTGACTCGTCCTCTGGAGCGGGAATGGAGCGGTGCATGGTGGGACAGTGGCGGACTTCTGCCGGCCGGCTGAGCCGGCCACGTGGTGCTGAGCAGGCCACGTGGTGCTGAGCAGGCCACGTGGTGCAGCTGCGTCTGGACATCTGGCGCCCAGAGAGCATCATAGGCGCTCTGTGAATGGGAGCGACTGTTAATCAGCTCACCATCTTTGTTCATTTATTCACCCACCCATCCACCCACTCACCCACAAATGCTTTCTTTTATTCATTCGATCCACAAGACGTAAAGGAATACAGAAATATTTGTTTACATCAGGTCCCTAATATTCATTCAACAAATATTTGTTGCAAACCAATGACAAAAACCAGCCAAGTATCTGCTCTTGTTACCTTGTATTGGGGTAGGCAGACTATAAACTAGTAAGCTAGTACATACATTAACAAATTTCACTTAACGGCAAGCGCTAAGAAGAAAGAATGAGGTGTCGTGATTGTGACTGGGGAGGTAGATGGCTGGATGGTTAAGGAGGACCTCTCATTCAGAGGTGGATTTGGAGGACGAGGGAAAAAGCTCTCCAGGTGCAGAGAACAGCGAAAGCGAAGAGCAAGTAGGATCAAGCTCGGTGTGCTTAATGGAGGGTGAGTGATGAGAAATTCCCTAGAATGACTCAGAACGGACTACCATTAGTGTTAAATTTGCCAGAAGTGTTCTCCCAATTCATTTTTATCCTATTTAAAAAGCATGCACGTTTAACGCCCTGGATTATTTTAATTTCTCTTGCAGAAATAAAGGAGATGGGTTTTTTGGTCAGTTTAATCCTAGTAAAATATTTTTTTCCAGGTGCCTTAGACGGCTCAAGACTTTGTTGTAACTGACAACACTAGATATAGGTCAGCCTACTGCACTTTTCCAAAACACCTGTTATTTAAAGTCCTGGGTCCATTTACTGAAGCTTTCTTCATGATATTCAATTGCCTATGTTTCTTTTTTTTTTTAACTGTGTTTAATTTAATTGATTAACCAGACTGAGTTGACATATGTGGCGCACCTTCTCTATTTATTAGACCCTGGAAGCTGGGCAGGGTGCTGGTAATGGGATAATCTACAAAAAGCTTCTGAAAAGTTGCAAAACTAGCCAAATACACAATCATAAGGTAGAAAGGATGCAAGTACAAATTAAAGCGGGAGCTAGAAGCCCGGGCAGAGTACTGACAGAAAGAGCCAAAAATTTTCAGTCTCAGGTGCCAGCTGTGTGTCGTGTGTGTGTGTGTGTGTGCGTGCGTGCGTGCGTGCGTGCGTGCGTGCGTGCCTGCCTGCCTGCCTGCCTGCCTGCCTGCCTGCGTGTGTTTTTGTGTATGTTTCCATGGAAACGTCCCTCCCTCGCCTCCCGATGGCTCCGCCCTCTCGCGGCTGAAAGCCAATGGTGGGCAGGGAGTGTCCCGGCGCGTGCGCAGAGCGCGTCAGCTCCCTGGACCGTCCCTTCCGGTTGTGGGCGGAGCTGGGGCGCGCGTGCGCCCTGTCCCCCAGCGCACGCGCTCTCCCAGCATGCAGTGGGCGCGCGGCCGGCGGGCACCTCAGTCTGGTCCGCGGCGGCTGCTGAGTACAGCGGGGTGGGTGGCTGCAGCGGCCGGAGGCCGACCAGGTGGAGAGAGGCGCCGCCAGTGCACAACCGCCCGCCATGAAGCCCCCCGCAGGTACTGGCCGCCCCTTGGTGCGAACCCCGTTCCCCGGACCCGGGCGCCGCTGCACCCTTGCGCCTCCCGGGGGCGCGACCTGGGCCCAAGAGCGGACCCTGGTGACCCTCGAGTGACCAGGGCCCGGGAGTGGGGGGGGATCGGGCCACCCCAGGAACCCGTCCCCTCGGTGGCCGAATGAAGGAAGCAGCTTTTCTAGCCCTTCATTCATTCAGCAAACTCCGGGTCGCTTCTGCTAAGGACGGGTCTGGCCCCGGGGTGGACTCTGGGGGAGACCGAAAGTTCTGGACCGCGTTCCAGAGCCGGAGACACGTTCAATAAGTAAAGAAGCAAGCAAGGGCTGTAGAGAGTGGTCGGTGCCGGGGCTGGTGGCGCTTCCTTGGAGAGGGCGGTCAGGGAGGGCTTCCTAGAAGTGGTGGCATTTCAGCTTAGAAGCAGCTGTGCCGCTAAGACCTGGGGGAGGAGCGTCCCAGGTGGCGGGAACGGCGAGGGCAAAGGCGACGGGGAGACAGCAAGACGGGTGAGCGTTTGGACAGCACCCAGTCATTCTGGCTGGAACACACCTGGCGGTCCGTGGTCTTTTAAGGGCAAGGGGACGCAGTGGGAGGGTTTTCATTTTCTTTAGAAAATCGCCCAGGTTGTGAGCTGCCTCCTGGAATTTTCTGTTGCCTGCCTCTCCTCCCCCAGTTCTTTCTCCATCCCATTGCCATGATGATGATGATAATTGTATTAAAGATGATCATCAGAATGAGGGTCATTCAGGCCTCAGGAAGGCAGGAATGTTGTCAGCCTTGTTTGCTGTGGGATTGTGAGCTCGGAGACCTGGCCCATAGGTTGCGATCAATAAAGACTACAGAATGAATGTGGCCGTTCAAGTGTTTGACATCCTAGTTCTTCCAGGAGGCTTTTTTTTTTTTTTTTCATAATTCCAGCTTACACTGATCTCTCACCTGAGCCCCTGCAGCCTGTGTTTGCCATCAAATTTAGTATAGACCCGCAGTCCTTTTTCTGCAGTTCTGAAATCCAAAATACTCTAAACAGAAAGACTCTTCTAAGTTTGCAGCAAAATCATTTGGCCAGAAAATCTGACCTGTACTGAGTTGAGTCTTTCTTTTTCCCACTTAGTTTAGATCAGAGTTCCTCACCTGGGGTGATTGTGCCCCTCCAGGGGACACTGGGCGATGTCTGGGGACATCTGTGGTTGTCACACTGGGGGTGCTCCTGGCATTGAGGGGGTGGGGGCCAGGGATGCTGCTCAGCCCCCCACAGAGCCCAGGACAGCCCCCCAGAGAGGATGATCCAGCCACAAATGTTAACGACACTGTTAAAAACCCTGCCCTAGAGATACCAAGTGTAGATCTGAGCCAGCAGCACCTTGCAAAGACCTCCCCACCCTGGTGTTCACAAATGGGGATTCCGGGACCGCTGTGGCCCTGCTCAGCTCCTGCCATGCCAGAAGGGGAGAATGAGGCCCAGGTTCGTGTTTCCTGGAGAAGCCATTTTCCGCTCCACTCTCCACATTCCACATCCAGCTGGGGAACCCGCAGGCCTCTGTTCCTTAACTCAAAAAGGAATTCGGGACAGGTGTGGCCATTCGAGACCCACAGGTGCTCCAGGAATGCCATGGAGGCCTCACTCAGAAAGGGCTGTGAAAAGGAAGACTGGTGGGGTGGGGACGCAGGGCAGAGGGGGCGACCTTCGGGACGGCCTGGGAGACTTCTTGAAGAAAGCCGGTGTGACTGGGCACAGAGAAGTTGGCCAAAGCCACCGTGCAGGAGCCAGGAGAGTCTGGGTGATGTGGACCAGGGGTCAGCAAACCAGTTTGTAAAGGGCCAAGTGGTTTAGACTGGCCGAGCCACACACCATCTCAGTGCCATGTGAAATCTTTACCTCGTGGTAAAGCAGATTTGCCAGCCTCTGGTGTGGACTCTGATAAGGGTTTGAACTTTGATCTTTAGTGCAGCGTGGAGCCCCGGAAACGGGGCAGGAAGACCAGTTGTGCAGATTTGCCAAGGTGGTTGTGAGTGCAACACTAGTGCACGGCGGAGGGGCTGAGGTTAGACTGTGGTGTGAACCCTACCGCTGCCCTACTGGCTGTGGGGTCCTCACAAGGGACCTGAACTCTCCAGACCTCAGGATTCCCGTCTGTAAAATGGGGACAGCATGGGACACAGAGCACAGAGCAGTCTGAGGGTTCAGGGAGGGAAGGAAAGCACCAGCTTACCCTCTACACACCACAGGAAAGATGTCAAGGGACAGCTGTTGTTACAGAACACCATCTCTTGGGGCTAGGGATGCTTCAATAATCAGCATTTCCCCATGTTTTAGAAAGATGTTACATTACATCCAAGGAGTTTGGGGTTAGCACCCTATCATTAAACAATCACTATTTCAGTGAAATGCAGACGTATGCCGAATGTCCCCCCTTAACGCTGTTTCTTTTTTTTTTACAGTTTATTTATTTATTTATTTATTTTGTGAGGAGGATCAGCCCTGAGCTAACATCCGTGCTAATCCTCCTCTTTTTGCTGAGGAAGACCGGCTCTGAGCTAACATCTATTGCCAGTCCTCCTCCTTTTCTTCCCCAAAGCCCCAGCAGATAGTTGTATGTCACAGTTGCACATCCCTCTAGCTGCTGTATGTGGGACGCGGCCTCAGCATGGCTGGAGAAGCGGTGCGTCAGTGCGCGCCCGGGATCTGAACCCGGGCCGCCAGTAGTGGAGCGCACGCACTCAACCGCTAAGCCACGGGGCCAGCCCCCTTAACACTGTTAACATTCTGGGCCGGGTCATTCTCTGTGGGGGGCCGTCCTGGCACTGTGGGGTGTGGAGCAGCGTGCCTGGCCCCACCCACTCATCACTCCCCAGTTGTGTCTGTTCCCTGGGGGGCAGAGTCACCTCTAGAGGACGGCTCACCCTGTGCATCCCCACGAAGCCCTTGGGCCTCGCTCATCTGCTCCGGGAGGTGGTGGCCCTCTCCTGTCGCTCCACCCGCAGTGACTCTGCCCTTAATTCCGGACTTGAAGCAGACACATGGGACATAGGGTTTTTGTCTTCTCCATCCAGCCTGTGCCGGAGACGCCCTGGCCACGGCGGCCCCGTGCCCCGTGGTGAACTACCTGCGCTGGGACCTGAGCGCCCAGCAGATAGCGGAGCTCACGACGGAGCTCATCGAGCAGACGAAGCGCGTGTACGACCGGGTGGGCTCCCTAGCCTTCGAGGACGTGTCCTACGAGAGCACGCTCAAGGCACTGGCGGACGTGGAGGTGTCCTACACCGGTAAGTCCGGCTCTGGATCCTGGCGGGGAGGCGAAAGCAGCTCGGGCTGCGGAGCTCCTGGACCCTGAGCAGGGGTGACGCCTCCTGCTCCCCAGGGGCCGTGCTGGATGAAGGCGCTGACGGGGGTAAAGGCATCTGGCAGGTGCTGGTTGGCGGGCCCCACCCCACTCCACTGCGCCCCTGGCACACTGGGTCCTGACCAGCTGTGTCACCTGAGGCCGAGACCCGGACAGCGTGTCTCACGGCACGCCTCTCCAGGAGTCAGCTCAGGAGCCGGCCTTGAAACCGGAGCCCCTGCTCACCCCTTCCGTGTCCCGGGTGTGTTCTCTCCGAGCGGCTGAACTTGGCCCCGTTGTCCTGTGTCATCGTCGTCCCCTCCCCTTTGAGTAACCTCATGCCATCCCGTGTCCTCGTCACCACCCAGCTGGCTCCCTGTCTCCTGCTCCCTTTGTGAGGAACGAGACACTCGGTCAAACAGATCCAGAGCCCGCTTCCCCGAGCCCCCTCGGTAGAGGGTGGCGGTATGGGGACGGAAGACCCAGAGAAGTCTCGAGGCAGAGAGCTCCAAGCCCAGGAAACCCCCCGCCCCCGAGTCTCCAGCAGAAGTCGTTTTTCTGGGAACCATCGGGAGTCCCTGAATTCCGGCTCGGGGTTCTCGCGTGTCCCTGAGGCCTCGCCACTCAGACCCCAGAGGGTGTGCTGCTCTGGAAGCAGATGGAGAGCCCGCGGCCGGGCTTGCCTCCGGCTCTGCCTCCCCCCGCCCGGCTCCAGGCGGTGGGCCTCAGTCTCCCCTGCTTGTCTCTCTGACGGGAGGCTCTCAGGATCACGTGATGCCAGTTCCCTCTTAGCAGGCGCAACCCTGCCGGGCATCACTTGATCTCCCCCACGCCCACCTCCTCTCCTGCGGCCTTTTATTTCCGTCTCCACTCAGTAGCCCAAGTCATTTTAAAGACACTAAAACTGAATCGTGGCCCTCCCCTCGGCCAGCCCTTCAGTGCCTTACCGCTGCCCTCGGGATGAGGGCCCGAGTCCTCGATGGGGCCCTCGGTGCCCTGCTCTCCGTCTCTCTCACCCTCCCCTGGGCCGTCGTGCCCGGCTGTGGGGCCCCCTCGCACTTCCTCGCACTCTCCCGTCCTTGTACAGCCTGGCCTCCTTCTCTCCCTCTGCTTGCTGGCTGTCGGGCTTCTCCGTGAGCACAGATGGAGCTCTGTCCCATGAGCCCCTTCCCGGCCCGTCCCCACCTGGCGGCCTGGGTCAGTCCCACGCTCCATGCTGGCTCGCTGTCCCCTCGGTGCAGTCACTGTGGCTTGTCAGATGGACGGACAGATGTCCCAGATGGACAGACGCTGCTCTGTCCTTTTCACTCTTCTCTTGGGCGGCCAGCATCAGGCTGGCCCAGAGCCCTGCCGTGCTCCATACGGGCCGGCCGAGTGGGCAGTCCTGGCACCGCCCTTACAGAGACTCCGTGGGCGGCTGAATGCACCCAGACCTGGGGACGTTTTCACTGGCCCAGAATCGTGAAAGTGATTCGCATTCAGGCCTCCCTGGTGCAAAGTCTATGCCTTTTTTTTTTTTTTTTTTTGCCTCTGGTGAGATATAATACACATACCAATAATTCGCCCATTTAAAGCATATGTTTTAGTGGTTTTTAGTGTATTCACAGTGTGGTGCAACTAGCACCATTAGCTAATTCCAGAACATTCCATAATCCTAAAAAGAAACCCCGTCCCTATCAGCAGTCACTCCCCATCCCCTCCCCCAGCCCCTGATCATGGGTTGAGCCTGTTTCCATTTGGACCGTGAGGTCCGTGAGGACGTGGGTAACAGCGCTCGTCTCTTTACCCTGCTGCCCCGCCCGGGGCCCTGCGTGGGGCATGTTCGCTGAAGGAATCGGCAGACACGATGAGTCCCATGCCTGGGGCTGAGGTCGGCACTTCCCTCGGGGCCCATTTCACAGCTGTCCCGTTGTCTCTCCGGTTTCAGTCCAGAGGAACGTCCTCGACTTCCCCCAGCACGTTTCCCCGTCCAAGGACATCCGGACGGCCAGCACGGAGGCAGACAAGAAACTGTCCGAGTTTGACGTGGAGATGAGCATGCGGCAGGACGTGTACCAGAGGGTCGTCTGGCTGCAGGTGAGGGGGCGGAGGGAACGGCACCCGGCAGGCTGGAGCTGGGGAGCCCGGGGGCACGCCCGTGGCTCAGAGCCCCTTCAGACCACATCGCCCTGCTCCCCAGACTTCAGAAGGCAGAAGGCCGAAAAGACGGTGGGGATGGTTGCACAGCAGTGTGAATGGACTTAATGCTACTGAGCTGCGCACTTAAGAACAGTTAAGGTGGTAAATTTTATGGTACGTCTCTTTAGCACAATCAAAAATCGTTAAAAAATTGACAAAGACAAATGGAGAGGAACAGAAAAAAAATATGAGACGCCTGGGACTCCTTCAGCCTTGCCTGCATCTGCCGTGTCATTTCACTTTCCCAGCCTCGCTGGGCGTTACTTAGAGCTACCGTGCTGTCTCCCACGTGAGGTGAGAGGGGTTGGCTGGCACGTGCAGGGTGACACAGCACGTGTGTGGGGCCTGCCTCAGTCGATGCTCCTCCGGGCACGCCGGGCCGGGACCTTCGCTGCTGCTGTCGGGGGCACCGCAGAGGTGGACCAAAGGCGCCTCTCATGTCGCTTGTTCATTCCCTTAGAACTTGCTGGTGTGTCTCCCTCAGGATCAGGAAAACGCACCTGTGTGCTTTATTGAAATTTTTATTGAGACAGTTGTAGATTCACATGCTTTGTAAGAAATGATTCACAGAAGTCCCGCCTACACTTTCCCCAATTTTCCCCAGTGTAGCGTTGTCAAAACTAAAGTCAGTACTGCAACCAGGACACCGACCTTGATGCAATCCCCCCACCTCATTCCTGGTTAACCATTCACCTGTTGAAGGCCCCCTGGGCCGCTTCCAGTTCGCGGCTCTTCCCAGTAAGCGAGCATCTGTGTGCAGGCCTCGCGTGGACGGAAGTCTTCATTTCTCTGGGATGAATGCCCAGGAGTGCAATTGCTGAGTCATGCGGTAGTTGTACATTTTGCTTTTTAAGAAACCGCCAAATTGCTTTCCAGAGCGGCTGCCCCATTTTATGTTACGACGTCTGAGTGATCCAGTTTCTTCGCTGCCTCGCCAGCGTTTGGCACTGTCACCGTTTTTCGTATAAACAGGGCTTCGATTTTCTTACTCTAGGAAAAGGTTCAGAAGGAGTCGCTGAGGCCAGAGGCGTTGCGGTATCTGGAGCGACTGATCAAGCTGGGCCGGAGGAACGGGCTGCACCTGCCTGGGGAGACGCAGGAAGTGAGTGCCCGGCTCTTGGGGGGGGGGGCCCTCGAGTTCCTGCGCCCCATCTGAGGGCCCAGCCTCTGACCTGATGCCTGTCTTTCTGCAGCGTGAACTGTAGGAAGGAAGGTCTCTCTGCCCTCAGTTCTCCAGGGTCATGGGGGGCTTCCCCAGAGCACAGGGCTCCCTTGGTCCCAGGAGAGAGGCATGGGGCGCCTCCCCCCATACCCCTCATTCGGTCCTCCCTGTGACTTTGGTGCAATGGTTTTAAGGAAACACTCACTCCCCCCATGGGTCTGCCGTATTCTCTGTACTCTGCGACCACATGGCTTCCCTTCTGACAGATATGTGGGGTCCCACATCAGGTGACTTGGTGACGCCAGCTGGGTGTCCTACAATTTAACTCACTTCTGACACTGTCTACCCAGAGACGGCGCCAGACCCCACAGGTTAAGGGCTCAGTCCCACGAGACTTCCCTCGTTTCAGATGCCAATTGAAAGTCCAGGTGGTCACCTGTGCCTCTGGCCAGCTGGCTATAAATCAGGGTTCCCGCGACCCCCTCGGGTTTGGTTAATTTGCAGGAGCGGCTTACAGAACTCAGGAAACCAATTTACTTACTAGATTACTGTTTATTATAAAAAGATACAACTCAGGAACAGCCAGATGGAACCTCTGCCTCCCCGTGCCTCTGTCCATCCACCCACCCAGAAGCTCCGAATCCTGTATTTTGGGGTTTTTATGGAGGACTCATAATGTTGGCGTGATTGATTGAACCTGCAGCCTCCAGCCCCCTCTCCCCTCCCAGAGGAGTCTGAAGGTCCCATTCCTCTAAGGACGGGGAGAGCCCCGTCCTTTGGGGCTCTCCAGAAGTCATGGCATGAGCGTAAACTCCGGTCTGGTTGACGGGCTTGTTGGGAAGAACAGGATGCTCCCCTCGCCTTTATCACTCGAGCTATTTCAGTTTTTTCTTATCACTTAGGAAATTCCAAGGGTTTTAGTGTGCCAGGAGTGGGGAGAAAGACCCATATACATTTCTTGTCATAAGTCACAGTGTCACAGGTGGCATCACTGTGTGTCTGGCACTGAGGCTGAGGGGGCCGTGTCTGCACGTGTCCTGTGGTTCATAGGTGACGGTCTGCATTCATCGGGCTCAGGGGCCAGCTGTTTCCTGTTCCTAGGGATTGGCTACTGCTAGGAGAGGGGCTGGCCCTCCAAGGTCAGCGATGCCAAGACAGCAAAGCCTCAGGACACGGACTCCCACCCAGTTAAAATCAAGTCGCTTTTTAACTGTCTCTAAAAACCAAGTGGACCCCAAAAGGATAAAAGTTTAGCTCCGTTAAAATGGCCAAAAGCTTAGGTGTAGACTTGAAGAAATTCCTGAGCAGGAGGGTCCAGGAAGCTCTTGGCCGGGGACCTGGCACAGCTGAGGGCACGAGCCCCATCCTGGGGTCGCAGAGGCTGAGAGGCGCGGCGGGCGGGTGCTCGCCTCCTGATTCACGGCGCCGCCAGTCTCAGGCCGTTTCCTTCCCCGTCTCCCTCCTGTCGCTCGTCCCCCTCGCCCGCCTCCGCTCACGACTGTTTTCTTCCCTCCAGAAAATCAAAAGCATCAAGAAGAAGCTGAGCCTTCTGTGCATCGACTTCAATAAGAACCTGAACGAGGACACGACCTTCCTGCCCTTCACACGGGGCGAGCTGGGTAGGGGCCGGAGGGTCGGCGCTGTCAGGGCCCTCGGGGGCGTCAGCCTCCCCCCCCCCGCCCCGGCCTCTGAGGTCAGGGCTGGCGGGAGGCTGAGGCATTTGTATCTGATACTCCCCCCCGCCGCAGCGGTTTGGAACATAAGGTTCTAGATCCTTCCTTGGGGAGGGCCTTGGTCTGTCTGGGATTCTGCCCTGACAGAAACATCCTGGGGCTGCGGCCGTAGCTGGGGCCAGTCTCCGTCTCCGCCTTGCCCGGGGCTAGCCTTGGGGTTCCCCTCTGAGATCCACACCCCACTTGCCACTCTTTCTTATGGTTGTTTTTTTTAATCTTACAAAGTGAAGGGGACGGAGGGGATCCTGTTCCCCACCTGGCTGTGTGGGGAACTGTGAAGGGCTGGGGCCTAGGCGTCCCTGCTAGCTTTGACTCTCTTCTCCACCTCTCTTCCCCCGAATGCTTTATTTGGAACGTTTCACACCTGTAGGAAATTAGCGAAAACAGCACAGTGGAAGACCTGTGCCTCGCGTAGACCCGCCCCCAGCCCATGTTCCTGTCCTGCCGTGTAGACCCATGTAGGTGTGGCATCTGAACCCTCCAAGGGTCATCTGTAGGCCTCACAACCCTTCCCCAAGAGTGGGGACGTTCTCCCGCGTCACCTCCTGCGGATGTCGCACGCAGGAGACAGGGCAGCAAACGGGTTTTATTGGAAGTGCAGATTTCCGTACTCAGCTGTCCCCACGACATTCCGTGTTCCTTCCCCGTCTGGGGTCTAGCCGGGGATCACACATCATGTTTAGTTTTCGTGTCCCTTCAGCCTCCTTTCCTGTCGAGCAGTTCCTCAGCCTTTTGAAAACGTTTTTCCGTCTTTCCTGACGTTGACAGTTGTGAAAACTCCCCCAGGGGCCTCAGATGACGCTCCGTGTTCTAGACCGTCCTGTACACTTCGCTGGAGTATAAGGTCGCATGAGATTCCACCCTGTAGTTACAACAGCGTCCGCCCCCGAGGCGGCCGGTGACACAGGGCCCTCGTTGCCCGAGGCCTCCGTGGTGGCTCCATCGCAGAGATGCCCACAGACACGGGTTTCCGGAACAAGTGCCACTCGCCGCCAAACCCCGCTGCCCTTCGTTCCATTCAGTCCCTCCCGTGTCTCGGGCAGCAAGTCCCACTACCTGGGTCCTGACATCTAAGGACAGATGCCCTGTTTCCTGGGCGAAGTGGGACCCGGGGCCTGTGGAGTGCGGCAGACAAACCCACTCACCCTCCTGTTAGCGCAGCCCAAGGGGCCCCGCTGTCTCCCGTGCGGGCGGCCCGAGACGCTCTGTCTTGCAGGAGGGGAGAGTGGTGGCCGTGTCAGGACGAGTCTGGCCAGCCTGGCAGGGTCTGGCCCTGTCTGCAGGTCCAGCTGAGCCAGAGCATAGCGGTTGTTTATTTTCCCCTGGTTGCGAAAGGGATTCTTGGTGTTGTGTTACAGAAATGCAGAGAGCGTCTCTCTCCCCTTTTCTCTTTTCCTGAATCTTCACCGCTTGGTTAAGCCAGTCCTCCACCGTGCACCTCCACTGTGGTGTTACCATTTTCCCTTGGTAACAGATGATTTTTCCAGAGGTGCTCTGAGGCTGCTGCTCACCACGTTTTGCCCGCTGGCTGAGGCGTCCCCGGACGAGGCTCTAACCCCGTCGTCCTTTGTGCGTTTGTTGGTTGTCTTCTCCTGTAGGTCAGAACGTCCCCTCCCCCCTCGCTGCCGGATCTATGTCTGTATCAGTGTGGACTTGCAGATTCTAGTTTGTTCACTGCAGTAGAGCCCATTGCTGTCATCATGTGTCTTGATGCTCAGATGGTCCCCGTTTGACCTGGAGGAGCCCCCTCGGGTTCGGTGTGTCCCTGTGATTCTCTGAGCACCTTCTTTCTGGCACAGGGTGCTCCAGGCTTGTCTTGTGCTTTCCCTGCCCAGCCCCAGCCTGATGTTTAGAAACCAAGGTCTGGGTGCTGGGGAGCTGGTGTTTCTCCGCCCTCTTGAAGGGCAGAGTTAGGAATCAGATATCCGTCTGCACGTGTGCACACACAGACAGGCTTCTGTATGTGTACACACGTCCCTGAGGGTGTGGTGACGCCTTTAGTTCTAGTGAGGTTCCCCAGGGCTCGTCTAGTGGCGCCCTTTCCACATTTTAACCGCCTTCTCCAGCAACGAGAAGCCCACTGAGGTTGTTTCGGGCTCGACCACAGGAAGGGAGGGGGTGCCGTGTTCTGGGGTGAGAGCGGCTCTCTCTCTCTCGTGCTGCGTCTTGGGCCCTGGGTCCGTGGACGCCAACTCGATGTCTGCAGCCGGGCTTTGCCCCATCCAGTCGCTCGGCAGATGTTTGTCAGGCCCGTGCATGTGCCGCAGCCCAGCCGGGAAGGAAGGCAGCTTTGCCTGCCGTGGGGCCCACCCCGAGCCGGAACCCCACTGGAACCCTCCAGGCCTCCCACGCCGAGGGCTGAGCCCGGATGGTCATGACCTCGCCATGGTGCCCTAGCCCGGCTCGTCCTGCTCACCTGTACTGGGGGAGGGTCCTGAGCCAACTGGCCTCCTGGGGGGCTGTGGGCCAGGGTAGAGGCAGAGCATGAGGTGGTGGCCGTGGCGTCTCCTAAGCTGTGAGGTGGGAGTCCCCGGATCTGTCTCAGGAGGTCGGCTCAGGAGCAGGGACCAGCTGGGAGGCTGTCGCGGCAGTGCGGGCCCTGGGATGGGGCAGGGGCACCGCCTCGGGGGACACAGGGCTGCGGGCGGGTTCTGTCCCCATCTGGTGCCATTTACCGAGAACGGACACAGGAGCCCGCAGCCCTGGGAAGCCTGCGTCAGGCGGAGCAGAGCTTTTCCTTCCCAAGGGAGTCCTGGTGGGGGCGGTGGCACATTTTCAAGGCGGGAGCGTCCTCGACGTCCCCTCTTTGGGTGGGGAGGTGGGAAGAGAGTGGCCCGAGTCGCAGAGCTCCGTGGGGAGGCTGGCCGGCGCTGCGGCTCCCTCTAGCTCTGTCCCGGCCTTCATGAGGGAGCAGGCCCGCCCCCTCCCGCCGCGTCCGTGCCCCGGCCTGGCGGTCCTTTAAAGCCCCCGATGGTGTCCCGCAGGAGGGCTCCCCGAGGACTTTCTGAACTCGCTGGAAAAGATGGAGGATGACAAGTTGAAAGTCACCCTCAAGTACCCGCATTACTTCCCACTCCTGAAGAAATGCCACGTGCCCGAGACCAGGAGGAAGGTGGAGGAGGCCTTCAACTGTCGCTGCAGGGAGGTGAGGAGGCGGCGCCGGGGTCCGGCCTGGGCCCCGCCCCGCGGAACTGTCCTGTCCTTCACCTGGCCTGTCCTTTGAAGAGTGGCCGCCGGCTGGAGGTCTGAGCGGTTCCCTCGTGGGGTGACAGGACAAGCATGTGCTCAGGTCCCCCTTTCCTCGCTGTCTTTGGGGGTTCCCCACATTGGTCTGAAGGTAACGAGGTTCCCCCACCGCGGGATTTGAGATGGGGCCCCACAGGTGAGGGCTCGCCTCATCCCAAGGGAGCCGCTGACCGCCTGCGGAGGTGGGGGCGGCTCGTTGTTTGGGAGCCGGGAGTTTGGGTCCCAGTGGGCGTCAGCAGTGAAGTGATACTGGGGAGAGCCCCGAGCCGGCAGGCCCAGGCTGATCGGGACTGGCTGGGGGTGGGCATCACCTCGTCCTTCCCTCCCAGCCCCCAGACCTGACAGGCAGAGCACGGGGCGGGCGGAGTCCTTGGTCCCAGGGTCCTGGCGTGTGGACTGGCGCTGCGGAGATGGCACTGCAGGCCGCCAGCCCCGAGCCCTGTCCGATGTGAAGGTCTCCACTTCCCGGTTGTAACTTGGTTTCCCGTGGACGGCTTGGGCTGCCGGGAGCCTTCTGTTCTGCACGGGCCTCTGTTTCTGCTTGTAAACTAATCAGATGGGGTTCATTTTGTGTCAGTCCCATGAACTTGGTTGGCTGGGTCGACCCCTCGGATGCAGGCAGAGATGCGACAGAGCCCTTGAGCCTGGGGCCAGGGCCTGCGCGGTGGGGAGCGCCCAGGGGCATGGTGCCCCCTGGAGGCTCTTCCGGAGCGCCCGGCCCCCGCATGGCTTCCACTCACGGCCTTAGAGCCCTTCACAGTTCACACCCTTTCTGCTTCCAGAAAGGACCCCAGGGCTTATGAAGACCCACATGTTATGACAGGATCAAGTGCACAGAAATCTGGGCCAATGGGAGAAGGGAGGGAGATTAAATGCAGCTGGCTGAGTCCTCGTGTTCCAGAATGTGCCTGCCAGGGGGCCCGGGCAGCCCCTGCCTCTGCTGAGACCCGCAGAGCGGGGAGGCTGGCCTGGGAGCCCTCGGTGGGGAGGGAGCCGTCGTCCACAGAGCTGGTCGCTGTCGGTTCCAGGAGAACTGTGCCATCCTCAGAGAGCTGGTGGCCCTCCGGGCCCAGAAGTCCAGCCTGCTGGGATTCAGCACGCACGCCGACTACGTCCTGGAGATGAACATGGCTAAGACCAGCCAGGTGGTGGCGACTTTCCTAGGTAACCCCTGGCCTCCCCCAGCCTCCCGCCCCTGGGTTCCGGGAGTGGGATTCCGGGCTCTGCTCGCCTGTGATGTGATCTTGCCTCTGAGAGCCCCGTCCTGTCCACCCTTGAGGTGGGAGTCTCATGCCTCCCCGGCCCCTTTATTTGGCTTTGAGGGACCCTGACCTAATGGCCGCGTGTTGGGGCTCTGGGGCGAGGCCTGCGTGGGGGGCACGGGCGGCAGTGGGGAGCCCACACAGGGAGGTAGCCTCGCTTTCCCCTGCGTCCTCCGCAGACGAGCTGGCCCAGAAGCTGAAGCCCCTGGGGGAGCAGGAGCGGGCGGTGATCCTGGAGCTGAAGAAGGCCGAGTGCGAGCAGCGGGGCCTGGAGTTCGACGGGCGGATCAACGCCTGGGACATGCGCTACTACATGAACCAGGTGGAGGAGACGCGCTACAGCGTGGACCAGAACCTGCTGAAGGAGTACTTCCCCATGCAGGTGGTCACCCGGGGGCTGCTCGGCATCTACCAGGAGCTGCTGGGGCTGGTCTTCGAGCGGGAGGAGAGCGCCACCGTGTGGCACGAGGACGTGACGCTGTACTCCGTGAGGGACTCGGCCTCGGGCCAGGTCATCGGGAAGTTCTACCTGGACCTGTACCCACGGTGGGTGTGAGCCAGAGAGGGGCTGGGGGAGGTGGGTGTCCAGGAGGCTCCGCCTGACGGGTGGGCTGGGTGGGCAGGACCCCTGCCCTGGGCGCCCGCTCCTCTGCTGAGAAGCAAGTTAAGCCATTCAAGGTGTCCAGTCGCCCCGGTGGGCGGACAGGTTGACTGAGGGACCCAGAGTCACTGAGTGGCAGAATCGGGGACCGTTCCGGGGTCTTGAGCCGTCTGGGCCAGTCAGTGAGCGGAGCAGACGCCCGGCTGGGCCTGACCCTGCCCCCTCCCCAGGGAAGGGAAGTACGGGCACGCAGCCTGCTTCGGCCTGCAGCCCGGCTGCCTGCGGGAGGACGGGAGCCGCCAGATCGCCATCGCGGCCATGGTGGCCAACTTCACCAAGCCCACCGTGGACGCCCCCTCGCTGCTGCAGCACGATGAGGTGGAGACCTACTTCCACGAGTTCGGGCACGTGATGCACCAGCTCTGCTCTCAGGTGGGTGCGGGGCAGCGGGGCGGAGGCCGGGGCAGGGCCGCCCGGTGGTGAGTGGGTCTGAGGCAGGCTCCTCCCTATCCCTTTCTTCATCTGATACCACTACAGACATGGTAATGCCCTTGTATCAGTTCCCATCACACAGGCCACAGGCCAGGGGCTTCAACAACAGATGTGTGTCGGGTAGACGGCCGTCTCCTCCCCCTGTCCTCACGTGGTCGTCCCTCTGTGCGTGTCTGTGTCGTCATCTTTTATAAGGATACCGGTCACGTTGGATCGGCCCACCCACTCATTTAGTCGCCTCTTTAAAGACCCCATCCCAAATACAGTCACATTCTGAGGTACTAGGGATTAGGGCTTCAACATAGGAATTTAGGGGGGACACAATTCAGCCATAATAACTCGCAGAGAGCTGCCGAGAGGATTAAGTGAAAATAATGCACGTATGTAACCTGCTTAGAACGGTGCTTGGCGCACACAGGCCTCATCCCCTTAGCTGATATTAGGGAATGTTGCTTGAATGATCCAGCCAAAGCTGGTGATGGAAACCAGCGAAGGCTCTGGATTCAGTGAACACCCACCAAGCCCAGTGAGGGGGTCGGGGTGCTGGCCTCTCTGGGTGGAAACACGGAGGCTCATAAAGTTGAAGTGACTGCCCCCAGATAGGCCCTCGGTGGCAAGGGCAGGGCTCACCCTGGGTTTTCCGGGCCCCCAGCCTAGCGTCCGTGCCCTGGGACCCCAGCTGTCCATGTGCATTCGCTCTCTGGCCCTCTCTGCGCACACATGCTCAGCCCTTTTTCCTGATAGCGGGAATGTTCTTAGAGGCTGAACGGGAGTGTGTGGGGACTGGGTGCTCGGTGATTTTTAGTCAGTTTACTGAGTTGTGCGGCCATCACCACTGTCCAGTTTTGGACCATTTCCATTACCCAAAAAGATTCTTCAGCCCCCTTAGCTCCCCACTAGTGCTACCCACTGCCCCAGCCACCGGCAATCATGAACCCGCTGTCTGTCTGTGGATCTGCCTGTTCTGGACATTTCACATCAATGGACTCACACACCGTGTGTCCTTCTGTGTCTGGTTCTCTCACTGAGCATCGTGTGTTCAAGGTCCATCCATGGTGTGGCTGTCTCAGGGCTTCACTCCTCTTCACGGCTGTGTCGTATTCCAGTGTGTGGGTGGACTACTTAGAATGATCTTTTGGCAAGCAGAGAACGTTTGACTTGGATGAAGTTCAGTCTATTAAGCTTTTTTCTTTCATGGTTTGCACTTTTTTGTGTCCTGTTGAAGAAATCGTTTCCTAACCCAAGGCACTAAGATTTTCCCCTAATTTTTTTTTTCTAGAAGTTTTATAGTTTTAGCTCTTCGTGTTGGTCTGTCGTCCGTTGTGAGTTAACGTTGTCTGTGATGTCTGTGGTGTAAGGGTCACCCACTCACCCGCCAACAGTTCCCCAGGGCAAAGCCAGCGTCTGTACAGTGCCCGGGCTGTGGGTGCCCCCTGGTCACTCCCATTCACATCCCCTCTTTCCACTTCCTGCCTCTCTCTGGGAAATCCACTCAGATTATTTCCCGTAACTGGAGCATTGTTCTGCCAGCGACCCACACAGCTTCCTCCTTTCCTCCAAGTCCTTCCTGATACACACATTTGATTCTCATTCATTGAGGCAGTTCTGTTCCATAATGTTGGTGTGAACAGGGAACCGGTGGTCCTGGGGGGATGGAGGGGTAGGATCCTGCAGGCCTCCACTCACAACGCTGTCATCAGCCGATCAGGAGGTGACCTTGTGTCACGTGTGTTTCTGTTTAGACACCTTATTTAATGTACACTTCGGGTTTATTACCATTGGACTCCGGGCCAGCAGCCCTGTCACTCATCCTGATGAGACTCATCTCACACGTGCGTCCTCCGTGAGGGGCGTCCCAGCCTCTGGTGCTCAGGAACCCCAGACAGCACTCCAGCATGACATTTGGGGGCCGTTTTAAACAGCAAAGTCACCCACAGAAATGCAAAAAACAAGGCACTCAACAGACCGTGAAAAAGACACTTGTTACAGTCAGAGCTCAGACCACAAGGCGGAGCGTCGAGTGACCACGAGCTCTGCGGGGGTTGAGTTGGGGTTACAGATGAGTTTCAGCGAGTCACACGTTGACAAATGGGGAATCGAAAGTGAGGAGGGCCTGCCCAGGATCACTCAGTAGCTTATGTGGCGGATCAGCTGCCAGACCGGGGTGCCAGCTGGACTGGATCCAGCGCTATGTTTTTCCGGAAGAATCTCAGACACACAAAAGTGGAGAGGACGGTGCCCCTTCCAATGTCCGTCATTCAGATTCCGCCGTTGCCAGGCCTTTGCCTTATGGGTGCAGGGCTTTTTAGAGCGTTAGCTTTGTGGGTGGGGGAGCGGAACGGGGGTGACAGCAGGGACGGGCTGCTCTGCTTCCCTGTGTGTCCTGGGCTGGGGCGGGTCAGCCAGCAGCTGCCCAGGGAGCCTCAGTTGTCCCCATCGTTATCCAGGCTTCGATGACGGGAGCCTGGATGACGTTAGCCGCCTGCGTGGGGGGGAGGTGTACCTGTGCGCGCAGGTGAGGCCGGGCGGGGGGCGCTGGCACTCCCGCGGCCTTGCCTGTCCCCGCAGGCGGAGTTCGCCATGTTCAGCGGCACGCACGTGGAGCGGGACTTCGTGGAGGCACCTTCGCAGATGCTGGAGAACTGGGTGTGGGAGAAGGAGCCGCTTCTCAGGATGTCCCAGCACTACCGGACGGGCAGCGCCGCCCCCCAGGAGCTGCTCGAGAAGCTCATCAGGTCCCGCCAGGCCAACACAGGTGCCGCCGTGCCCCACCAGGGGTCTCTGCCCTGCCACTGCTCTCCTGCCCGGTGCCCGTTCTCCGGACCCCGAGGCCGGGGAAGGGAGGGGAGTCCCCGGGTCCTGTGCTGCCCCCAGCGAGGCTGGGCATGTGCCCTCGGGGATTTCTGCACCACCCAAGCTGCAGAGGGCGTGGCGGACGCAGAGCCAGCCCCCCGTCTCCTTCCTCCCGCCTAGGCCTCTTCAACCTGCGCCAGATCGTCCTGGCCAAGGTGGACCAGGCCCTGCACACGCAGACGGCCGCAGACCCGGCCGAGGAGTATGCCCGCCTCTGCCAGGAGGTCCTGGGGGTCCCAGCGACGCCAGGTAGCCGCTCGAGAGCCAGGCCCACATCAGAGGTGGCAGTCTCAGCCGTCCCCGGGTCAGAAGGATCCAGTATTGGGTGAAGGGAGTCGGGCCAGCTTACAGGCTTCGGCTGAGGCCTGGGAGGAAGCAGGTGGCCTCTGGCCGCGTTCCTTTGCTTCCTTGGGCCCGTCGGCTGCAGCCCTGAGAGTGACGGGCACTTGGTCGGTGTGGGCGGTTCCATCCTTCCTCATGGGCACACCTTCTGCTCAGGCTGCCTGCTGCCTCCATCCCCCCACGCCCCCACTCTCCGCCGGCGCCCTCCTGCACGCTGCTTTGTAGAGAGCCTGGAAGGTGCAGAACAGACTAGAGGTTTCGTCCCCTGGAAATAACGAGCAGATAGGGTTCGCACGTATATCCTTCCAAGCGTGCGTGTGTGTGCACATATGTACACATTGGCACACATGGTTGGATCCATGAACACATACATCAAGATAATTGGGATTTTAACATAGCTGGTGGTGTATTGGTTTACTATTTCACAAGGTTGTTTTTTTTTTTTTTTTCTGTGAGGAAGATCAGCCCTGAGCTATCATCCGTGCTAATCCTCTTTTTGCTGAGGAAGACCGGCTCTGAGCTAACATCTATTGCCAGTCCTCCTCCTTTTTTTCCTCCCCAAAGCCCCAGTAGATAGTTGTGTGTCATAGCTGCACATCCTTCTAGTTGCTGTATGTGGGACGCGGCCTCAGCATGGCCGGAGAAGCGGTGCGTCGGTGCGTGCCCGGGATCCGAACCCCGGTCCACCAGTAGCGGAGCGCGCACACTCAACCACTAAGCCAGGGGGCCGGCCCTCCCAAGCATGTTTAAAAGTCCTTCAAAAAGCGGTTTAACCGGCACGTGCTCTGTTGTGTGGACGAGCCTGGACATGTCCCGTGGTCCCCCGATGTTGAGCCTTGGCGTGTGGCGGCGGCTGTTGTAGTTAAATGCTTTGGTGTGAACCCTTTTCACCTTCAGCAGACAGTGGGCAAGATTCATTTCCTTTGGCCGAGTCGCCCGGCCCCTGCTTTCTAGAAGTGTTGGGTCAGTTCCCCCACTTCCAGGTGGAGGGTTTCTGATGGCGCTGCTTTGAGGCCCCTCTCCCGGGAAGGGGTGCTGAGGGGGCCGGGGGTCCAGACTGGGCCGCAGTGAGACCTCCCTGTGTCTGCCAGGGACCAACATGCCTGCGACCTTCGGCCACCTGGCGGGGGGCTATGACGCACAGTACTATGGCTACCTGTGGAGCGAGGTGTACTCCATGGACATGTTCCACACGCGCTTCAAGCAGGAGGGTGTCCTCAACGGCAAGGTGAGGGGCGGCCGCTGGACGGGAGGGGCCGCCAGCCTGTGGAGGGGGCGGGTGACCCGTGGGTTATGCTCCCTGCGGCCCGGGACCAGGAATAGCCGTCCTCGGCCTCGGGCCTACGTGCCGGTGTGGCCGGGGCAGGCGGGGGAGGCGCGCACCTGCAGGTCTTCACCAGGTGCAGGAGATGGAGACCGCCCACCCTAGACCCTTGCCAGGGGCCAGGGGCTCGGCCAGCTTTCCAGCCCTTTGTTCAGTCACAGCAGAGGCTCGGCCACCCCTGTTGTGGGGCTCGGCCTGGGGCTTCAACCTCTGTGCAGGTGAAGGGCCCCCAGAGTTCCTGAAGGATGGGGGGTCCCTGCACAGTCACGTGCACATGCGTGCACGCCTGTTCCAGGCCCCCTGTCCCTCGTGTTTGCGCGCAAACACCACAGCTCCCTGTGGTGCTGATGCAGGGCCCATGTGGAGTGGGGAGGGGATACTCGAGGGCCCATCTGGAGGGGCGTGAAGACCCCTCCCAGCCCCGGCCCTCCGCCCCCGGCAGGTCGGCATGGACTACAGAAGCTGCATCCTGAGACCCGGCGGCTCCGAGGACGCCAGCGTCATGTTGAAGCTCTTCCTGGGCCGCGAGCCCAAGCAGGACGCCTTCCTCCTGAGCAAAGGGCTGCAGGTGGAGGGCAGCGAGCCGCCAGCCTGCTGACGTGCCCAGGGGTCCTGCTGGCCCTGGACTGGGGGGCTCAGCCCCGCCCTGGCTCCCGCCGCCCCGGTGCCTTCGCCTCCCGCCGGGAAACAGGGCAGCTGGGTGACGAGGGGCGGCTGGTTCTGCCTGTACATTCTCACGTCCAGTCTCCGCAGCCCTGCTCAGTGGCCGGCCTCGTCCTCGTCCTCGCGATGGCTGCAGGGCCCTCGCATCCGTTCAAGGCCTCCCCTACGTTGCACTAACACAGCCCCTTCCTGGGGAGTTTTCCTGGTGAGCAGACGGCTCCTCTTTGAAGCGCAGCCATTCAGAAAGAAAGAAAGGGAAGAGGGACTCCTGGCCTGTCTCTGACGCCCGCTCTCCTGCACAGCATAGCGGCATTGGCATCACACTTGCGGTCCAGTTTGCTTCTGTTAAGCCCTGAAGTTGGCCGTCAGCTGTCCGGCTGGGGACGCCGGGCAGTTGAAGGCTGTTCTCTGCGCACTGGAGTGTTCTGGGTTGTGACACGTCTGGGTCGCTGGGAGACGGCTGAGCTGTTGGAGTGACCGCAGCTGGGGGTTGGGGACTGGAGCCGGGGTGCCAGGATCGCTCACCAGGAGGAGTCTGTTCCCTGCCAACCTCCCACCCAGCACGCGTCTGGGAAGCTCCTCCCTCCCCGTGTGGCACTGGCCCATGCGGGGCAGGCTCAGCTCCTCCAAGAAGCCTGGGTGTGGCCAGAGCCCGCAGCAGCCGCCCGCCCTCTGCCCGGGCATGAGTCCCTGGGCAGAGCTCCTCCTGGTCCCCTGGCCAGTCTCTGGGAGTGGTTTGACGGAGCTGGTGTCTGATTGATGAGCACAGCTGCTGCGCCCCGCCATGACCTTGTCCACGGGACCCTGAAGACTAAAAGTCGACACAGCCTGTCCTGCTGCGTGTGGCCCGGCTCCCTCTGGCCGCTAGGCCGTTAGCAACGTGGTGACGTCCAGACTGCCGGGGGGTGGCCTTCCGCGGTCCTCGGGCAATGCTTCAGAAATGCCTTAGTGATATTTTTTGGTTGTGGTAGAAATTCGGAAAGGGTCCTTCACCTGAGCAGGTGGGTGGGTGTCACCCCCGAGTCATTTGGTCTGGACCACCCCGTGTTTTCTTCCCTGGCCTTTGAGCTCCCTGGGAGCCCTGCCTCCTGCCCCTGAGTCGTCCCCTCCCCATCCTTTGCCAAGGGAGTGTGTGGTGGAGCGAGGGACCGGGCAGCGCCCCGACCCTTCTCCCTGAGGCCCAGGCGGGCTGGCCGTGCCCGTCTCTGGTCCTCGCCTCAGTGGGGACAGTCTGTCTGCCCCCTTGCCACCCATCGTCACCAGCCCTGGGCCAGTCCAGCTATGGACCCCTCGTACAGGCCTGGCGCAGCTTCCTTTGCCCACTTCTGTACCTTCTAGACTCTGGGGCAGGGGGCTGAGTGTTCTCGGCTTGTCCGGAGCTGGTGGGCGCTGTGTGGCCGGGAGGGCTGTGCCGAGAGGCAGAGGTTGATACTGGGGTTCAAGGCAGCTGTGGCTTATGCTTAAATCACCTGGGCCTCAAAAAAGGGAAAAAGACAACAGATCCCACCCAGGCTTCCATCCGGGTGCCTCCTGATGGGCAAAGGTGGCATGTCGGGGGGCTGGGGGTCTCTCCTTGCCTTCTGCCTTGAGCCCCTAGATGGCCTCCCTCTGCTCCCCAGGCAAAATCCAGGTGTGGTGTCAGCACCCCGAGCTGTGGGCTGGACAGTTAGGGGAGGGGCGGGGGCCACACAGCAGTGGGTCTGGCTGGGCGATGTTGTCGCCAGGCGTCCAGGGCAGCCACGGTGCTGCTTAGCGAGGCGTCGCCAAAAGTGTCTATGTTTCTCCCGGCCACTCCGGGACCTGCCGATGGTTCGTCCCTGAGACGGACCCGATGGCTCAGATCCTGGGGCAGGAAGGGAACAGCAGCACAGCTGCCACCTGTCGCCCGGGGGCCGAGGGGGCTGGGAACCTCTAGGCGCCGTGCGGGTGTCTCGTCCTCCACCCCGGCACCTTCCAGCGTTCTCACGGCTCTGAGGACAGCCTGGAGTTGGGATCCCTGCCAACCGGGTTGTCATTCTCCTCTATTCCCCTCTCTCCCCCCCCAGGAGGAAAAATGGAAAATTAAATTAGAAATAAAAATGGAGTCTGTGTTTTGCCATCTTTGTAACATTTCTGTACAAACTCGCTCGTTGGATTTTGGTGAAACCTGAACACAAAATGGGGGTCCCCTGAGGACTCGGCCTGAGGCCTCCTGTCCCGGCCCGCACCCCAGCTTCACGTCGGCTCTCTCAGTCTTGAGACTTCAGCCAGGGTCTCAAGGAGCCCCGACTCTGGGAAGAGCGGGGGGCCTTTCTAGCCGGCGGCCTCGAGCAGCCCCACTCGTCACCCCTGAAGGGGAGACGGTGCCAGTGGGACATCGTAGGACTGTTGCTAACAGAGTCCCTGGGTTTGGTTGCCTCCCCGCGGGGTTTTCACAGGCTGGGCGTTTCAGGATCACGGCCAGTGTCCACTCCTTCCCGGGGTCCTCATCCAGCAGCAGCCCGGCAAGAGACGGTCCCCGTGGGGCCTCACTGGTGAGGATGGCTTTCTCTCGTCCCTGGAACAAGCAACATTATTTCGTGCAAATTGAGCTCAATCCAGATATTGCTAGGTGGCGTGGGGAGCGGATCCAGCCTGGGCTGGGCGGTGGGCGTCTGGGTTGAAGTCTCAGGGTTGGCCTGTCGGGTTGGGGGGGCCCCAGGGAGGGCTTCCAGCTCAGGCTGGGCCGGGTGGGAGAGCACACTCACCGTGGCTCCGCGCACAGGATCACAGGCCACTGCGATGCCGTCGTGCTCACAACCCCCCTGACCCTCCTGTGGGCGCTCCGTCCAGCCCCCTGCAGCCCACAAGGCCGGCGGACGGCTCCATCCCAGGGATCGTGGGCCCCAGGTTAAGGCAGGCGGTGTGGGCTCTCTCTCCAGCCAGAGGTCAGCTCCCGGATGGACGAATAGTCCACCTGGGGCTGGTGCTGTGAGGCCTGTGTCTCGTGAAACTGTTCAAGGGGAAAGAAATTCTTTTTTCCCCCCGACTTGAAACTGGGAGAATATAAGCAGTTGGGCAAATGCAGCCTCTCAAAGAGCAAGCCAGCCCCAAGGACAGCAGAGCTGCGAGTGAGGCCGTCTGTGCACCGGCCCCCGGACTTGGCACGGAGGAGCCAATGCATTCCCTTTTCTGCTGAAGGCACTCTGAGTGGCCATTTGTCACCTGCAAGCCAGACAGTTCTGTCCTTACCCGTGGCCTGCCGGCGCCACCTGAGAGACGCGTGGCTGAAGCTGGACTTGGCAGAACAGGCTGCCGTCCCGGAGCCTCCAGGGACTGTCCCGGAGCCCGCTGCTCTCGGATTGGGGATGGTGAGGCAGTGGGGCTGGGCGGGGTGCAGGGGTGCTGGAGAGGGGTGTGCTGGTTCCCAGTGGAGGCCCAGATCTGAGGTTCTGGGAGGGACTTAGTGGTCCTTACATCCCCTTAGCTGGGGGAGAGGGGAGAGGGGGCAGGAGAGGGGGGCAGGAGAGGGGAGAGGAGGGCAGGACTTGCCCTAATGTGCTCACCATCCCAACGTCCCTTGCCTGTCTGCAATCCTTCCCACCCCCCGCCCCACACAATATTCATCTGCTCCCCACACGATCGATTCTGTGAATTTTCTAAAGTTTTATATAAATGAAGCCACGCAGGATGGCCTCTTTATTTAATGGTTTTGGTCTGCTTTCTGACGCTGAGGATAATTATGTTGAGATGCATCCACGTGCATCCCTTTCTCTCGGTGGGTCGTAGTCCATTATACGGATATACGTTTGTTTAGTCCTTCATCTGGTTTGCTTTTGGGTTGGTTCCAGGCTGGGGCTATTAGGAATGAAACTGCTGTGGACATTTGTGCATGTGCCTTTGTGTGGACACAGGCCTTCATCTTTCTCAGGCAAACACCTAGAAGTGGACTCGAGCTATTCTAAGAGGTGTGAAGTGGCACCTCCTTGTGGGTTGACTTTGCATTTCCCTAATGACACATGATGTTGAGCATCTTTTCCTGTGCCTATTTGCCATCCACGTATCTTTGGTGAAATGTTCACATCTCTTACCCATTTCTATATACTAGCAGTAAGTAATTGGAAAAGGACATATTTACATCTTTAAAAGACCCCATTTATGATAGCCTCAAACACCGAGGAATAAGTTGGACATAAGATGTACAGCTGCTCTACACCAGAACTCAAAATATTGTTGAGGGAAACGAAGGAAGACCTGAGTGAATGGAGGGATCTAACATCTATGGAATTGGAAGGTTCATAAGATGCCCGTTCTTCCCCAAATGGATCTACACATTCAGTGCAATCCCTATTAAAATCCGGGCAGACTTTTTTTTTTTGGTAGAAACTGACTAGATGATTCTAAAATTTATATTAAAATGCAAAGAAGCTAGAAGAGCCAAGGCAATCTTGAAGAAGAACATAAATTTGGAGGACGTACACTATTAGATATCAAGACTTTTATAAAGCTACAGTGATTAAGAAAGCACAGTTGTGGCACAGGGATGGACAAGTTGATTGATGGAGCAAAGGAAACAGGAGTCCAGAAACAGACCCACACATAAAAGATCCATTGATCTGCACCAAAGGTGTCACCGAAGATTGATGGGGAGGGGTTACCTCTTCAGCAAATAGACCTGTATATGGAACATACTGATCCCTGATCCCTGCCTCACACCACACACAAAAATTAATTTAAATGGATCACAAATCCAAATGTGAAAGGCAAAACACTAAAGCTTTTAGAAAAAAAATGTGGGAGAATGTCTTCAAAACCTTGGAAGTTGGAAAAATTACTTTCTTGAAACGAATAACAAGGAGCAGTAAACATTAAAAGAAGAAGAAGATCGCCACACTGGACTTGTAAAGATTAAGAACATATTTTCATCAAAATATTAAGAGAGAAAGGGCAAGCCACAGGGTGGGAGAAGATATTTGAAATATTTACCAGCAAAGGACTCACAGCGTTGACAATGAGAAAAATGACAGACATGCCAGTAAGAAAAAGACAACCAATTTTTGTGTGTGTGTGTGAGGAGATCAGCCCTGTGCTAACATCTGCCAATCCTCCTCTTTTTTTTTTTTTGCTGAGGAAGACTGGC